TGAACTACAACTGAACTACAACTGAACTAGAACTGAACTAGAACAGAACCAGAACTGAACCAGAACTGAACTAGAATTGAACTAGAACTGAACTAGAACAAAGAGTCTGGATAATGTTCAAAAATATAGTCTGGACTATAGAACTAATTATAGTCTGAATTATTGATCTAACTCTTGCTTGAAACTATAAATCAAAGTAAAGATGTAGATTGACCTATTTGCCCAAGATATTTCCATGAACTAAAAAATTACATAGCTTTAAGAAGTTTTTTAGTAGTCGCTCTTTGTTTTAAAAACACTTCCAAAATTTCCTAGCCCCGAAAATAATTCTAAAAAATCCCTTTAACATTCACTGAGTAAACTTAACAACCCACTTAAGAGGCAACGAACTAATCAAACTATGTATTTAAACATCAACCAACTAACCAACCCCCTTGTTAAACATCTGCACATGAAAATTATTTGTTAAAGAAATGAAATCAAATAAAAATTAGGAGTACAAACAACAACAACAACGATAATAATAAACAATCAGTTGGAAACTACTTTTAGGTACTTTAAACCATAATAGTGCAGTGCACAATTAAATAAAACAAAACGATAAAAACAATTGAAATTGCATTACGAGAACATTGAAGCTTGCTTTCAAAGTGTTGGAGGAAAAATGTTCGAACAATAATTCCATAAAAGAAATGTGTAAAAGTGAATTTACTTTACTTTGTTAGCGCTAAATGGGGTGCTGCGCAAATTTAATACTGAACACACTCTAATGCTTTTACTGAAATATGAGTAAATAGCAGTTTAGTTTCGAAACCTCAACAACAAGGGGTGTGAAATCAAAGTGGCCACATACTAAATTTTCTGGTAGAAAAAAATGGAGTTTTTTTTAGAAGAAAAAAAAAAATGCATTGAAAAATATAATTGTGTTCCTAATTGCTGTAAATATTGTTATGTTAAAAATTTACTGCAATACGGATATTATACCTTTAGCATAATTATATAACTGTAGGGTTTTTCCAATACTTTTAAAATACATAGTAAAATAATAATAAGTATGTACTTTAAGATAAGAAATTTAAAAATTTGCAATAAGTTTTCAAACTTGTGGTTTGATTTGGCAATAAACTGCGCTTATCAGTATTAGTTTTTATTTCTAGTTCTATTTAAGTTCTAGTGCAGTTCTAGTGCAGTTCTAGTTCAGTTCTAGTTCAGTTCTAGTTTCTATCAGTTCTAGTTCAGTTCTAGTTCAGTTCTAGTTCAGTTCTAGTTCAGTTCTAGTCAGTTCTAGTTCAGTTCTAGTTCAGTTCTAGTTCAGTCTAGTTCAGTTCTAGTTCAGTTCTAGTTCAGTTCTAGTTCAGTTCTAGTTCAGTTCTAGTTCAGTTCTAGTTCAGTTCTAGTTCAGTTCTAGTTCAGTTCTAGTTCAGTTCTAGTTCAGTTCTAGTTCAGTTCTAGTTCAGTTCTAGTTCAGTTCTAGTTCAGTTCTAGTTCAGTTCTAGTTCAGTTCTAGTTCAGTTCTAGTTCAGTTCTAGTTCAGTTCTAGTTCAGTTCTAGTTCAGTTCTAGTTCAGTTCTAGTTCAGTTCTAGTTCAGTTCTAGTTCAGTTCTAGTTCAGTTCTAGTTCAGTTCTAGTTCAGTTCTAGTTCAGTTCTAGTTCAGTTCTAGTTCAGTTCTAGTTCAGTTCTAGTTCAGTTCTAGTTCAGTTCTAGTTCAGTTCTAGTTCAGTTCCAGTTCAGTTCCAGTTCAGTTCTAGTTCAGTTCTAGTTCAGTCTAGTTCAGTCTAGTTCAGTTCTAGTTCAGTTCTAGTTCAGTTCTAGTTCAGTTCTAGTTCAGTTCTAGTTCAGTTCTATTCAGTTCTAGTTCGTTCTAGTTCAGTTCTAGTTCAGTTCTAGTTCAGTTCTAGTTCACGTTCCTAGTTCAGCTTCAAGTTCAGTTCTAGTTCAGTGTCTAGTTCAGTTCTAGTTCAGTTCTAGTTCAGTTCTAGTTTCAGTTCTGTTCAGTTCCTAGTTCAGTTCTAGTTCAGTTCTAGTTCAGTTCTTAGTTCAGTTCCTAGTCAGTTTCTAGTTCAGTTCTAGTTCAGTTCTAGTTCAGTTCTAGTTCAGTTCTAGTTCAGTTCTAGTTCAGTTCTAGTTCAGTTCTAGTTCAGTTCTAGTTCAGTTCTAGTTCAGTTCTAGTTCAGTTCTAGTTCAGTTCTAGTTCAGTTCTAGTTCAGTTCTAGTTCAGTTCTAGTTCAGTTCTAGTTCAGTTCTAGTTCAGTTCTAGTTCAGTTCTAGTTCAGTTCTAGTTCAGTTCTAGTTCAGTTCTAGTTCAGTTCTAGTTCAGTTCTAGTTCAGTTCTAGTTCAGTTCTAGTTCAGTCTAGTTCAGTTCTCTAGTTCAGTTCTAGTTCAGTTCTAGTTCAGTTCTAGTTCAGTTCTAGTTCAGTTCTAGTTCAGTTCTAGTTCAGTTCTAGTTCAGTTCTAGTTCAGTTCTAGTTCAGTTCTAGTTCAGTTCTAGTTCAGTTCTAGTTCAGTTCTAGTTCAGTTCTAGTTCAGTTCTAGTTCAGTTCTAGTTCAGTTCTAGTTTTTCAGTTCTAGTTCAGTTCTAGTTCAGTTCTAGTTCAGTTCTAGTTCAGTTCTAGTTCAGTTCTAGTTCAGTTCTAGTTCAGTTCTAGTTCAGTTCTAGTTCAGTTTAGTTCAGTTTATAGTTCAGTCTAGTTCAGTTCTAGTTCAGTTCTAGTTCAGTTCTAGTTAGTTCTGTCAGTCTAGTTCAGTTCAGTTCAGTTCTAGTTCAGTTCTAGTTCAGTTCTTAGTTCAGTTCTAGTTCAGTTCTAGTTCAGTTCTAGTTCAGTTCTAGTTCAGTTCTAGTTCAGTCTAGTTCAGTTCTAGTTCAGTTCTAGTTCAGTTCTAGTTCAGTCTAGTTCAGTTCTAGTTCAGTTCTAGTTCAGTTCTAGTTCAGTTCTAGTTCAGTTCTAGTTCAGTTCTAGTTCAGTTCTAGTCAGTTCTAGTTCAGTTTAGTTCAGTTCTAGTTCAGTTCTAGTTCAGTTCTAGTCAGTTTTAGTTCAGTTCTAGTTCAGTTCTAGTTCAGTTCTAGTTCAGTTCTAGTTCAGTTCTAGTTCAGTTCTAGTTCAGTTCTAGTTCAGTTCTAGTTCAGTTCTAGTTCAGTTCTATTTAGTTCAGTTCTCGTTCAGTTCTAGTTCAGTTCTAGTTCAGTTCTAGTTCAGTTCTAGTTTCAGTTCTAGTTCAGTTCTAGTTCAGTTCTAGTTCAGTTCTAGTTCAGTTCTAGTTCAGTTCTAGTTCAGTTCTAGTTCAGTTCTAGTTCAGTTCTAGTCAGTTCTAGTTCAGTTCTAGTTCAGTTCTAGTTCAGTTCTAGTTCAGTTCTAGTTCAGTCTCTAGTCAGTTCTAGTTCAGTTCTAGTTCAGTTCTAGTTCAGTTCTAGTTCAGTTCTAGTTCAGTTCTAGTTCAGTTCTCAGTTCAGTTCTAGTTCAGTTCTAGTTCAGTTCTAGTTCAGTTCTAGTTCAGTTCTAGTTCAGTTATGTTCAGTTCTAGTTCAGTTCTAGTTCAGTTCTAGTTCAGTTCTAGTTCAGTTCTAGTTCAGTTCTAGTTCAGTTCTAGTCAGTTCTAGTTCAGTTCTAGTTCAGTTCTAGTTCTAGTTCAGTTCTAGTTCAGTTCTAGTTCAGTTCTAGTTCAGTTCTAGTTCAGTTCTAGTCAGTTCTAGTTCAGTTCTAGTTCAGTTCTAGTTCAGTTCTAGTTCAGTTCTAGTTCAGTTCTAGTTCAGTTCTAGTTCAGTTCTAGTTCAGTTCTAGTTCAGTTCTAGTTCAGTTCTAGTTCAGTTCTAGTTCAGTTCTAGTTCAGTTCTAGTTTAGTTCTAGTTTAGTTCTAGTTCAGTTCTAGTTTAGTTCTAGTTCAGTTCTAGTTCAACTTAATTCTATAAATAACGATCAATCAATAATGAAAAATTCCCACAATTTTATTATTCTAAAATAACAAAATATTTCATTCTATTTAAATTCTGTTTGAATTTAGCAAACAAATGGAGCATGAAAACGATGTTGACAAAGAAGTCTGTAAAAAATAAACTAAAGGTGTTCATAATACCAAACGTATTATAACTTAAAGAAGCTTTTTTGCTTATTAACAACTATTTATGTTTTTTCTTTGTACTCATGTCAAAACTTATTTTAGTTAGCAGCATGATATGTTTATAAAATGAAAATTTGCTTAGTTTTGACATTTATATCCTTTTTCCTTTCAATACAAATACGTTTATCACGCAAAATTATAAGAAAATAAAGCTATTCATCAGAACTTCATAAAGAATTAAAAAATCCATGGTTTTTAAATAAAAAATAAACATGAAATTTGTGAATTTGAAATTATTAATAGGGCATATTGTTTACAATTCATTTGTTTTAAAGTGTGGGAAAGTAGAATAAAATAGTTTTCTGTTTTTTAAGAAACAGAAACTCGTTTCGAAAGCAAATTGGAAATTATATGATTTATATCAAAATAAATGCGAAATGAATTAATTTCCTTTCGATGTGTTTAAAAGTTCCTCTAAAACATTCATTTGCAGTGACTCGAGCAAGAAGCTATCAAACTTCTTAAACTATGCGACAGCTGTTTCATTTCTTTTAATAACTAAATCTTGTCATTATAAAAACCGTTTAAATAACGTTTATAAGGTAATTTTTTTAAATTTATTCAAAAGTAATAAATGTCAACCATTTTTGTGCAAGAAAATAATTTACCTTAACATTATGCATTTATGTACATAATTTCAACATATTTGTCCTAATTTATGTTCTTAATAGAAATAATAACAATTCTATAACTATAGCAACAGGACAAAGAACCAATTCCCCCCAAAAGTTGTTCTGCTTAAATTGATTTAACATAAAAATTGATAAAACTTTACTTTACAATAAATTTAAGAAAAAATAACAATAAATATGTCTGTTACATGTCTAACTTAAATATTTAACAAACTATAAACTTAAATTTAACAAAGACACACCTTAATAGGACTTTTATAATTAAGACAATATTATTTATTAGGTTTACTTAAGGCTGTGCGACAATAATCTATAATTTCTTGGTCATTTTGTTGGACTGATGTATGCAAGAGTTCATTTATAGTGAGTAATTGAAATTTATCAGTTTTTTCAGGTTTAAAATTACGAAAAGCTATAGCAGCACAATATTTAGGATGCAGCAAATGTTCCTCAAAATACCATTGAGTCATGGGTAAATCATTACATTTTAAGGTAGTGCCACATAAGGGTTGTGTTTCCAAGTTAAGTTCCTTATTAGAGTCCACAGTAAATGCAATTTTTTGTAAATCCACTGTTATACCCACACCCAGCTCTTTGACATAAGATTCCTTTAAACACCAGTGACGCATAAAAGCTTTTAGTTGTTGCTGTTGATTGAAATGTGGCTGGCAAATATAATTCCATTCGCTATTGGCAAATTTTCTATGCATAATACGAAAGAATTCTTTTAAATCTTTGCCTCCGGAATATTCCATTTTCATGACATCACAACCAATGCCAAAGTCATTGAAATCTGTTTGGTTCGTATTTATAACACCGGCTAATATCACATAATTGCCTTGATGTGAGACATTAAAACTAAGAGCAGGTGTAGCTTTTGTCCCTTCATTGGGCAGTAGATAAGGTTTTCCTCTTAAATCTCTGGCAAATTTAATGTCTTCATAGGGCAAATTGCACATTTCACTGACGTACTTACGCATAAGTAAACGTCCCACTAATGATGATAGAAAATCATTAATAAAATAGAATTTCATTAATCTAGTCCTTTCCTCCGGCTGTATGGCGGCTACAGCTTGTGTTAGCTGATTTAATGTGGGTGACGACCAAGTGCTTAGGTCAAATGCCCATCTTGTTGTTGCTAATTTATTTGTCATTACTTTATTTTTTTTATTCTGGCAGTTTATGGTTTTAAAATCATCAAAACTGTTGATGATGTTGGTGTGTAGTAGTTTTTTAAATTAAATAGTTATAATTTATAAAATGAATTTAATTAAATTCACTAGTGTTTACTAAGGAATGTGTAGTTTTCTAATAAGAACAACTGTCAAAATTAAGTAAAGAGCAAAAGGGAGAGAAATGCAATGGCAAATATAAACAAAGAGATGAAAATTAACTAAAAGCAGTGGTGCCAACATTTAAAATACATATAAAAAGAAATTATACCGTAAAAGTGTCTAAATATTATAGAGTTATAGTAGCAGATAAAAATTCAAATTTTTTATAAAAGACTCAGAAAAATGTTTTGAAAAGTAAACATTTTTATAAAAAATTTTGAAAATTGTTACTCTATCGTGTTTCTGAATAATATTTTATAAAAAAGAGATAAATTATTGTGGAAAGACCATTTGTGTAAGAAAAAGTAAAATTTGTCAATTAGGATAAATAAATATTTTTGGATACAATTTGAGATGTTCGTTACCAAGTTTATTGATAGCTTTGGTGAAGGATTTGTAAAATTATAAAAAAATGTTTAATAAAAAATCATAATTTCTAAAAAATGACTACTAGCCAGAAATACAAAATTAAACTTAGAAAATAACAAAAAATCTAGAATAAACATTTTTTTCTCAAAACTTTCACTAATAAGCATCATTTAACTAATTACGACAAAAAAACTAAAATTGAAAAAAATTAAACTAAAAACAACTGAAAAATTATAAATTAATAAAACAAAAACAAAAAACGAAATAATTTATTTATTTACTCACCATTTAAACGAGCTTTTTCGGGACCACGATCATTGAGTGCAGAGGTAGCCGTTAGCACGGCTCTCTCCATTAACGGTGTGTTGCATTCATAATCCGAAAAGTAATCGCTGTAGGAATCTAAAATTAGATGGAAGAAAAACAAAAACAGAAAAGAATGATAATTTCAATAAAATATAAATAACATATTGAAGTGAAGTGTATTTTATTGATGGTTTGTTATTAAATCGAAAACATTTGTTTCAAACATATGTGTGTAGTATTATGTTAAATATTTTTTTGTTGTACGTACATATTTTATTTGGCAAATTTCCATATTTTGTATTTATTTATTAATTAAATTTTTTTAGAATATGAGTGAGTACACTCTTATCATTTTAAGTGTTAAATATTTGTTATACTTAGTTCGGCATACATATTATATTAATACAGTGTTTAGTTATTCAATCATGAACTTTTTTATATTCCTTTCAAAAATTTTTTATGTTCAAAATTGTAACTCAAATTATTATTAAATTAGAACTGAACTAGAACTGAACTAGAACTGAACTAGAACTGAACTAGAACTGAACTAGAACTGAACTAGAACTGAACTAGAACTGAACTAGAACTGAACTAGAACTGAACTAGAACTGAACTAGAACTGAACTAGAACTGAACTAGAACTGAACTAGAACTGAACTAGAACTGAACTAGAACTGAACTAGAACTGAACTAGAACTGAACTAGAACTGAACTAGAACTGAACTAGAACTGAACTAGAACTGAACTAGAACTGAACTAGAACTGAACTAGAACTGAACTAGAACTGAACTAGAACTGAACTAGAACTGAACTAGAACTGAACTAGAACTGAACTAGAACTGAACTAGAACTGAACTAGAACTGAACTAGAACTGAACTAGAACTGAACTAGAACTGAACTAGAACTGAACTAGAACTGAACTAGAACTGAACTAGAACTGAACTAGAACTAGAACTGAACTAGAACTGAACTAGAACTAGAACTGAACTAGAACTGAACTAGAACTGAACTAGAACTGAACTAGAACTGAACTAGAACTGAACTAGAACTGAACTAGAACTGAACTAGAACTGAACTAGAACTGAACTAGAACTGAACTAGAACTGAACTAGAACTAGAACTGAACTAGAACTGAACTAGAACTGAACTAGAACCGAACTAGAACCGAACTAGAACTGAACTAGAACTGAACTAGAACTGAACTAGAACTGAATTAGAACTGAACTAGAACTGAACTAGAACTGAACTAGAACTGAACTAGAACTGAACTAGAACTGAACTAGAACTGAACTAGAAATGAACTAGAACTAAACTAGAAATGAACTAGAACTGAACTAGAACTGAACTAAAACTGAACTAAAACTGAACTAAAACTGAACTAAAACTGAATTAAAACTGAACTAAAACTGAACTAAAACTGAACTAAAACTGAACTAAAACTGAACTAAAACTGAACTAAAACTGAACTAAAACTGAACTAGAACTGAACTAAAACTGTACTAGAACTGAACTAGCAAAATCAATCCCTAAATAACGGATTATGAAAATCACATTTCATTCTTTATTACAATAAATAATATAAATTTTGAATATAGTGTAGGGTGTCATACAGCGGCTCTGTCCGAATATACATTCTTACTTATTTTTGTTTATATGAATTTTGTTGTTGTCTTGCTGGCACGACATGATTTAAATTGTTAAAAAAAAAACACAAAAACGGTGGGTGTGAGTAAGGAAATAAAGGAAGTTTTGCGGGTACAGTACCTTAAAAAAGTAAACGTACACTTTTCATAATTTATAATACAAATATAATAAAAATATTCCCCTAAATAATTACGCTTTATAAAACAGTTTGCTTTTTTAAATAAATAATGCTCTACTTATTTAAATACAAAATATGTACGTATGTGAAAATAATATTTTGCTGTACGTTAAAAATTATCGCTCACTGTTGAAACACATTGCGTTGAAAGTTATAATTGATATGTTTGTTGATAACTTTTGAATTGTGCATGATATTGCACATAAATTAAATATTTTTTATTTTTTTACTTTTTGCATAAACATTTAAATGGAACAATAACATTTTTTTTTTTCTAGAAATTCATACTATGTACAAAGAATAGGAATCGATATAAAAAGTTTTGAAAAATTATAACTTGTAACAACAATTTCCCAAAGTTATTTAAACCATACTCAAAACTATTGATTCTTTACTACATACAAAAAAGAACATTTCAATGTTTTAAAAATTATAGACCAACGAAGTTAAAATCATAATAGTATTCATACTTAAATAGAGCATGTTAAAACAGCAATGCGTGAGTTTTAGTGTCAAAATATAAAATATATAAAACATTAAATAAATATTCGTGACTTTTACAATAAAATTTTAGTCATTTTAAAAGATTTAGGACAAATATGTAAACTTCCTTAATAATTTGAACTTTTGCTCTAGTAAAATTCAAATAAGAAATAATTACTTAAAAATGTAAATACAAAATTATGAAAATTTCAACCACTATTACCCAAACGAATTGAAAAACGTCTAAGCTTTACAAATGATTGCATAAAATTGTGCATGTTTAAAACAAATTCTTGCACTTGTAGTGCCAATTCGTATGTTTGTAAACCAGGGGTTATACAGGATATAAAACATACATTTGTAAGTACTTACATAAGGATGTTGTTGTGTTCTTGTGTATGTATAGTAGAGGGTGGTTTTTATTTACTTTTTTCTTTGTTTATTTGGTAAATCCAACAACATCACCTTTTGCTAGTTGAAGTATGGGCATTGTATGGCAAAGCTTTATGTCTAGATGACGAGTTGACGGTTACAAATCTGTCTGTCTAGTTAAATATATTTAAATGAAGGGTTGTTAAATATGTTTGTTTTAGATTTGCTTGGGGTTTGTTTTATATCCTTGTAAGATTAATACCCAAGTTGCTAATTTTTCAAAATATTAAAATATGTAGGTAATTTTGGGAAGAATAGTGTTAGTTTAATTGGATCTGCAAAGGTTTAAATAATAACAATATGTTCGCTTTATAATGCTACAATGTCGGTGTTGATTCCAAGCAATAAAGTATAATCCCAGTATGCTAACAAATTCGAACTTGAAATTGGAACTGAACTAGAAACTGAACTAGAACTGAACTAGAACTGAACTAGAACTAGAACTGAACTAGAACTGAACTAGAACTGAACTAGAACTGAACTAGAACTGAACTAGAACTGAACTAGAACTGAACTAGAACTGAACTAGAACTGAACTAGAACTGAACTAGACTGAACTAGAACTGAACTAGAACTGAACTAGAACTGAACTAGAACTGAACTAGAACTGAACTAGAACTGAACTAGACTAGAACTGAACTAGAACTGAACTAGAACTGAACTAGAACTGAACTAGAACTGAACTAGAACTGAACTAGAACTGAACTAGAACTGAACTAGAACTGAACTAGAACTGAACTAGAACTGAACTAGAACTGAACTAGAACTGAACTAGAACTGAACTAGAAACTGAACTAGAACTGAACTAGAACTGAACTAGAACTGACTAGAACTGAACTAGAACTGAACTAGAACTGAACTAGAACTGAACTAGAACTGAACTAGAACTGAACTAGAACTGAACTAGAACTGAACTAGAACTGAACTAGAACTGAACTAGAACTGAACTAGAACTGAACTAGAAACTGAACTAGAACTGAACTAGAACTGAACTAGAACTGAACTAGAACTGAACTAGAACTGAACTAGAACTGAACTAGAACTGAACTAGAACTGAACTAGAATAGAACTGAACTAGAACTGAACTAGAACTGAACTAGAACTGAACTAGAACTGAACTAGAACTGAACTAGAACTGAACTAGAACTGAACTAGAACTGAACTAGAACTGAACTAGAACTGAACTAGAACTGAACTAGAACTGAACTAGAACTGAACTAGAACAGAACTAGAACTGAACTAGAACTGAACTAGAACTGAACTAGAACTGAACTAGAACTGAACTAGAACTGAACTAGAACAGAACTAGAACTGAACTAGAACTGAACTAGAACTGAACTAGAACTGAACTAGAACTGAACTAGAACTGAACTAGAACTGAACTAGAACTGAACTAGAACTGAACTAGAACTGAACTAGAACTGAACTAGAACTGAACTAGAACTGAACTAAACTGAACTAGAACTGAACTAGAACTGAACTAGAACTGAACTAGAACTGAACTAGAACTGAACTAGAACTGAACTAGAACTGAACTAGAACTGAACTAGAACTGAACTAGAACTGAAACTAGAACTGAATAGAACTGAACTAGAACTGAACTCGAACTGAACTAGAACTGAACTAGAACTGAACTAGAACTAACAGAACTAAGAAGCTGAACTAGAACTGAACTAGAACTGAACTAAGAACTAGAACTAGAACTGAACTAGAAGCTAACTAGAACTGAACTAGAACTGAACTAGAACCTGAACTAGAACTTGTAACTGAAACTGAACTAGAACTGAACTAGAAACTGAACTAGAACTGAACTAGAACTGCAACTAGAACTGAACTAGAACTGAAACTAGAACTGAACTAGAACTGAACTAGAACTGAACTAGAATGAACTAGAACTGAACTAGAACTGAACTAGAACTGAACTAGAAACTGAACTAGAACCTGAACTAGAACTGAACTAGAACTGAACTAGAACTGAACTAGAACTGAACTAGAAACTGAACTAGAACTGAACTAGAACCTGAACTAGAACTGAACTAGAACTGAACTAGAACGAACTAGAACTGAAACTAGAACTGAACTAGAAACTGAACTAGAACTGAAACTAGAACTGAACTAGAACTAGAACTAGAACTGAACTAGAACTGAACTAGAACTGAACTAGAACTGAACTAGAACTGAACTAGAACAGAACTAGAACTGAACTAGAACTGAACTAGAACTGAACTAGAACTGAACTAGAACTGAACTAGAACTGAACTAGAACTGAACTAGAACGAACTAGAACTGAACTAGAACTGAACTAGAACTGAACTAGAACTGAACTAGAACTGAACTAGAACTGAACTAGAACTGAACTAGAACAGAACTAGAACTGAACTAGAACTGAACTAGAACTGAACTAGAACTGAACTAGAACTGAACTAGAACTGAACTAGAACTGAACTAGAACTGAACTAGAACTGAACTAGAACTGAACTAGAACTGAACTAGAACTGAACTAGAACTGAACTAGAACTAGAACAGAACTAGAACAGAACTAGAACTGAACTAGAACTGAACTAGAACTGAACTAGAACTGAACTAGAACTGAACTAGAACAGAACTAGAACAGAACTAGAACTGAACTAGAACTGAACTAGAACTGAACTAGAACTGAACTAGAACTGAACTAGAACTGAACTAGAACTGAACTAGAACTGAACTAGAACTGAACTAGAACTGAACTAGAACTGAACTAGAACTGAACTAGAACTGAACTAGAACTGAACTAGAACTGAACTAGAACTGAACTAGAACTGAACTAGAACTGAACTAGAACTGAACTAGAACTGAACTGAACTAGAACAGAACTAGAACTGAACTAGAACTGAACTAGAACTGAACTAGAACTGAACTAGAACTGAACTAGAACTGAACTAGAACTGAACTAGAACTGAACTAGAACTGAACTAGAACTGAACTAGAACTGAACTAGAACTGAACTAGAACTGAACTAGAACTGAACTAGAACTGAACTAGAACTGAACTAGAACTGAACTAGAACTGAACTAGAACTGAACTAGAACTGAACTAGAACTGAACTAGAACTGAACTAGAACTGAACTAGAACTGAACTAGAACATAGAAAATATTTTTTTGCAAAAAATTAATATAGAATATTTGAAACTATTTCTGGTCTGTAAATGACTTGATGAGGTTCACTACTTTCTTTAAAATCAAAATATTTTTTTGCAAAAAATTAATATAGAATATTTGAAACTATTTCTGGTCTGTAAATGACTGACCAAAGTTGTGTTCTAATTTTTTTTTTTTTTAGCAATTTGGTCCATTTTGAACGCCAAGGGGATTTATTCTTCAGAAAGAGTTTAGAAAATATACATCCCCTATTTTCTCAGGATTAGGTCTTAGGAAATTAATACTTTATGCAATACTTTTTAATGGTTTTAAAAACACATTTTAAATCTCGTGAAATATTGTAAAGATTTTTATTATACTACATTGATTTTCTAAAAAAAAAATCACATAAGAAAAGCACGTGTTTTTATATATAATATAATTTGCCAAAAATTTTCATAGACATGCGCTGAAATATTTATTTTAAAAGGATTCAAAGTCAATATTTCTTTAAAAATAAAATAAATATTTATAAATTGTTTAAAGTACATGTATGTGCAAATAAATTAAATTGTTTGCTTTTTCCAGCATGAGTCACTTTATTCCAGATTATGACGTTTAATTTATTTACAAATAAAGACAAACGTTTTATTAATTAAATAACAAAAATGTTTTTGTTTATTTGCCGTTGACAAACCATAGAAAATTTGAGGCGTTGTTTTTGTTATTTTATTTTGTTAAGCTATTTTATAACTTTAATTAATAATAAGAGGAGAGAGAGAGATGTTGAGAGAGATATTGAAAGAATAACTAAGTTGTTTTTTGTATTCAACAAATTTTACTAATATCGAAAGAATTTAAACATTTTTATTAGTTCTACAATTATATTTAGTGTCTATGACAATAGACTGTAATTATATTAGTTTTTGGCGTTATCATAAAAGATTTCTGGTTGAAATTGTTAACTTAGGAAGAGTTTTCTGGAAATATTTTAAGGATTACGTTGAGGAACTGCACTTTTGAAACGGATATTTCATTTAGATAAATGCATAATACTTTCATCTATTGATATTCCTACTCTTCAACTTGGTGTCCTATAAAACCCTAGGTAATTATTGACAACAATCTTTGTGATCCAAATGAAATCAGTAAACAAATGTGATTAAAAAACCAAAACAAAAATTTTAAAAAGTAAACAAACAGATCACGTTACAAAAGAGCAGGTGTTTTCTTTTATAAACCTCTCTTTTCAACACTACTCTTTTACTATTCCCATACTCTTTCAATAAATGACGAAGCTACTCTTAAATTATTAAAGAAACAACAAATATACTTTGACAACTCTTCATTCACATTGTTGAATGAAAGAAAGACTCATACTTCGAACACGCCCAAAAAAATTAATTTAAGCCTGGTTTATTAATTAAATTTAATTGTAAAGAACCCTTTTACTACTTACCAGCATTTACATTTGTTGTTAGAATAATTGCTAGCAGCAGCACGGCTACTAAATTATGCCACATATTGCTGGCAAGCAACTTGTTTCTTATTGGTTTCTTTTTTTTTCACCAGAAAAAGAAAACTATTTGTATGGGGTACTTATTATATTGTATTTTAACACAATTTGTTTTTTTATATATAAAAATACATTTGTTTAATTTTATTGGCTTTTAAAGCTATAAATAACAATCAAATATTTTTTTGTTAACAATATGCTGTTTTCTTTTAGAACAACTGCAAACACAATGAAAATTTATTAGTTGTGTACTTTTTTTCTTGTAGTTGTCCAGCGGAGCACCCACTTTTTTCTGCTTAAAGATTGTTATGAAATAAACAATGCAAATTTGTGTGGTCTATTATCTAATTGTTTTAGGGAAAACACACTTTTTCTTTAATTTTTATATTTTAGTTTACACAATATTAATTAAAATTATATAGAGAAAAATATTAATGTGAAATATTAAATATTTTCTTCTCACTACACACAACACACACGTCTACTTCGCAAAGCGTTCAAATTGGTTTTGTCAATTTTCTTTCTCAAGAAAAAGTTTTAAGAGAGGACAAAAGAAATGTCAATGTTTTATAATATTTAAATGTTGCTGGCAGTGTTTGTTATATACAAAAGTTAGTTGCTGTAAAATTGCTCATAAACTACCATATATTTACAACTCATTACCTAATACCACTTTTTACAACTCTATGTTATTCTTTTTTTCTGCGAAATAAAAATAAACAAACGCCAGAGACTTGCGCCGATTCGGCTTAAGCCGACTAAGTCTAGCCGCCGAACAAAATGTCAAAGCCACCGCCGCCGAAAATTTTTCAGCTTAATACGGCTTGAAAATTTCGCCATATTTTTTCCAATTTACAGAACACTTACGCTAAATTTATGGAATTTTACAATATAAAATTAATTTGTTTTCATTTAAGCAAGTTTTCTTTTATCTAATAATAAGCCGCTCATTGAAATTTGGCCGGTGTAGAACTTTGCTCAACGTTCGATTGTATATAAAATTCTAACGTTACTGACTGACTGGCTGATTCATCATCGTAGAGCCTAAACGGTTGAAGCTAAAGAGCTGAAATTTGGGCAGGATGTTAGTCTTCCACCAAATGTATCCAATAAGACGGGATTTTTGGAAATTCGAATTTTTTGGGGGTTAAAAAAGGGTAAAAACGTAAATTCGGTGACCTCAAATCTCCTAAACTAGAAAAGTTACAAAAACAGTTAAAGCTTCAAGTTCATTAAAAAAAAAGCGGCCAGGTGTCCGGTAATTTTTTAAAATTCGGCCCCTTTGGGGAATAAACGGGTAAAAACTGTAATTTGGTACTTCTTTTGCACCCCAACTTTTAAACCAGAGAACATTAAAAAAATAATTTTGAATCCTTCATAACTTGACGAACAAATAAAAATATGAATTGAGTACTTTTTGGACATTCGGACGTTTAAGGGGTGCAAATTGTATCTATTTTTGGTACTTTTTTATGAAACATTGTTTTTGGTTTATTTATCCCAATACGATGTTGCAACTTTTTGGAACAGAATTTTTATTTCGTTAATGGGGAGGAAAAAAGTACCAAAAGGGGTAAAAACGGGATATTCGATTTTATTCAAGAAACACTAAATATGCTAATGGGGTGTTATTTGGAACACCGGTACCAAGTGATATTTTTTGGTACTTTTTCATTCTCCAACTGGTACTTTTTGAGTTTTCTATGATATTGAAATCGAAACATGAAATTAATATAATTAAGGTACTTTTTGAGTTTTCTATAAAATTTAACCTAGAAACATGAAATTAAGCAAGTAGAGTCCGGAGTAAATGAGAATCTATAAAATGGGATTTATTGGTACTTTATCGTACTTCGACTGGTACTTTTTTCACTTAGAAACATGTACTTTTTACTTTTTCGTTCTTTGAATGGTACTTTTTGAGCTTGCTACAAAATTTGACCTCGAAACATGAAATTAAGCACTTAGAGCCTGGAGTAAATGAGAATCTATAAAAGGGGAACTTTATCGTACTCCGACTGGTACTTTTTGAGTATTCCATAAAATTAAACCTAGAAACATAAAAATAAATATGTAGAGCCCGGAGTAAATTATAATCTATAAAAAGGGACTTTTTAGTACTTTTTCGTTCTTCGAATATTTTATAATATTGAACCTAGAAACATGAAATTAAGAATGTACAGCCCGGATTAAGTGATAACATATAAAAGGGGACTTTTTGGTACTTTTTCGTTCTTCGACTGGTACTTTTTGAATTTTTTATAATATTGAACCTATAGACATGAAATTATATATATAAAACGGGACTTTTCGGTACTTTTTCGTTCTTCAACTGGTACTATTTGAATTTTCTATTATAATGAGCCTAAAAACATAAAACTAAGCAATCAGGGACTTGAGTGAATGAAAATTTAAACTGGAGTATTTCTGGTAATTTTTCATGCTTTAACTGGTACTTTTTGAATTTTCTAAAATATTGAATATATAAACATAAAATTAAACACGCAGTATCCTAATTGAACGAAAATTTATCTCGCTTACGTCCATTTTGCAAAAAGGGCTCGATATCAATCGAAATCTCTATAGGCCATAATTGACCCTGTCCCCTTCAATAATTGATTTTAACGTTTTCAACGTACTTTGTTGAAACGAAAATATGTAATGTAAATATGTATATGAAATCTTCTTCAGAAAATGACTTCAACGCACATAAATGGCTTTCAAATGTCGATGTCGAAGAAACAACATTTTTAGGAACCGAAACCTACATTTATGAAAAATAAAATTTTGAGGATCGGTCCGCCAATATAACCCTCTTTTATAGCTAATACATCATTCCAAAAGTTATCATTATGATAGATTTATGGTAGAATTTAAAAAAAAAATACTTTAAATTATAGAGAAATTTGTCCATAATTGACCCAATTCCACATTTAAGTCTCTAATCCGAAAGTCACGGTGACGTGATCAAAGTCCATATATATACAATGTATATGACCACTTCCGAAATTTGCTTTTTTACGACAAATGATTTGCCGAATATAACACTTACTCCTTACTTATTTTAATCATAAAGAAATTACCGCTAAAATAGGAATAGTCTGCCTTTAGAGTTGCGAGTTTTCATACACTCTAATAATGTTTTCAAAGTGAAACTTTTGGAATATTTTTCAATCTCTTTGTGATCCCTTTAAATGATGTTCTGGAGGAACTTTAACATCCATGTAAACATTTTGGGTAATAAATTGGGGTACTACCAATGAGGGGAGCGGAACCTCCCATATGAATTAAATACAAAAATTCGTTTATCTGGGAAACTAATAGAACTAAATTCTTCAAATTTTGCACGAAGAACTTTAAAAGGGCGGACTTTCATCTGGGGGGCTTGGAGCTCCCATATGAATTAAATAGAAAAATTCGTATATCTGAGAAACTAATAGAGCTAGAATCTTCAAATTTTACTGAAGAACATTTAGAGAAATTGCAATAAATTGCGTGGAATCTCCGATATATAACAAATTGTATATCTGGAAAACCATTGCAGTTAGAATCATCAAAATCGTTAATTGAATTTCTTATTTATATTGCTTTTAGGGTAGCACAGCACACTGGCTATAGCTAGTAAATAAACAAATAAAATATCTTTGTTTTTAAGTTTTATATGGAGGATAGCGTTAAATATCGGCAGATCCTCGTAAAACTTGGAGAAAGGATTTGTTTTTAATTTTTAAGAATTTTTTATTCATCCCTGCATAATTTCTCACACTACTTTTGAGCTTGATCTGTTTTGTTGTTATAAACAATATATTTGCTTCCAAAATCCCACTTTCTGATCTCTCGGATTCCGTTTTTATTTAAAATCGTTGAAAATTTAAAAACTAAACGTATTTGAAAACTTAGCCGGCTTACAGTCGATTTTAAGCCGCCGCCGACATATTTAGTGTCAGTCGCCGCCGCCGATAATATTTGTCGGCGCAGGGCTCTGACAAAAACGCTTGAAATTTTAACAAACATTTTCATTTCTTCCAAAATATGAACAGTTTAAATATACCCACAGACTTTGGACCAGATTCGGGAGGACGTGTTAAAGGCCTTACTATAGTCAAGCCTATTGTTTATGGTAATATTGCTCGTTCGTTTGGTAAAAAACGTGAGGAAGATGGTCATACACATCAGTGGAAAGTGTATGTCAAGCCGTATCACAATGAGGACATGTCGGTTTATGTTAAAAAGGTTCACTTTAAACTGCACGAAAGTTATGCCAATCCCAATCGTATTGTTACAAAACCTCCCTACGAAATAACCGAAACAGGATGGGGTGAATTTGAGGTGGTCATTAAGATTTATTTTCACGATCCCACCGAGCGTCCTGTCACCTGTTATCACATACTGAAATTATTTCAGTCTCCCATAGTCGATGGCGAATTGTCTGCCAACACCACAATGGACCCCAAAAAGGGTTTAGTTTCAGAATCATATGAGGAAATTGTTTTCCAAGAGCCCACACAGCTAATGCAACATTTTCTAATGAATGTGCAGCCCCTGACAAATGGCGCCTATACCCATGATACGGACTGTAAGTTCAATAGCTCGTTTTTTTTTAATTAAATTACATTTTTTCTATTCTTTTACCTAGTTGAGGCCAAAAAACAAAAAACTTTAGAAAACATTCTGGATGTTAAACACAAAGTAAAAGGAGAAATAAACACCTTAAAGGACAAACTAAAATTAGCGCGAGAAACTATAGCGAAATTTAAAGCAGAATTGGCAAAAATACAAAAACCTCCAAATACTTAATGTTAGATAAAAAAGAAATATATATTTGAAAATAATATACACAAAAACATAATAGTTTTCTTTTAGATTCTTTAACTTATAATTAACTGCCAACAATTTAGGCATGACTATCCATAAATTGTAAATCTGAAAGCAATAATAAGGTATTAGGTAAAGGACGGGGTTGCGGTGATAAAACAGTTATTGCCTGTCGTTCCATATCAACTCCGGTGCTGCAATAAAAAATGGTATATTTTAAAGATTTTATACAAAAAACAATGATTTGCAGCAACTTACACACACACAAAACCTGCCACATTTGTACCAATTACATCCTCTTCGGTACTCTCGACAAAACTAACCGCTAATATATGATGTAAAAGTGAATGTGAAGGTGTAACAGCTACCAGTTTTGTTTTATTATCTTCAGCCTTAAAAAAGGACAAGAATTTGTTTATATATAAAAATTAGATTGCAAAAATGTTATAGTACCTTCATGCCTATGGGCATACATGAATCCGGTAGAGGTGGTGCTCCTATTTTGTATAGTTTTAAGTCTGCAAACTTAACTTCTATCGAAAAAGGATAGAAGGGCGTTGTTGAGCCGTAGAAATACTCCTTAATACGTTGATCTCTACATTCGGCACGTAGTTCTTTACTACGCTCTACCACACCGCCACTTTTGGGCAGTAAAACCACCTTAACAAACGAAGGCATATCACGCAACAATTCATTGTATAGACGTTCTTGATCCAAAACAAATATGGCATTCACTTCGAAAGCCTGTGCCGTATGCACTAAATTAGCATAACCATCTCCCTTCACCCAACCGCAGGTGTTTATAATAATACCCGAATGTTTGGCTACAAAATTAATAGTTATGTATATGAAATTTGCTTTATACAGAGCGGTAAAAACAACTTACTTCTTTTATTTACATTTAGCGACTCCAGTGTAACATCTGCCATTTTGCTTATAACTGCCTTATAGAGTGTACTATTACCGGAAGGTGTCTTATAACCAAAATGATAAATTAAAGGAGCCGTTTGCGATAGACCTTCTTCTATGCTAGCGGGCCTTTCTATCAATATAGCACCTATGGTACCGGGTATAGCCAGAGCTCCTTGTCCCACATCTGTGTCCACATAAAGCGGTCTTCTACCCAGCCGCACAGCATAATTTAATAATATGCGACATAAAGTACTCTTGCCCACATCCATGGGGCCCACTACCATGGCCACCGGACCGCGTTCATCTTTTTCTTCGGCCTGCTCACGCAATTGCTCCAAGGCAGAGTGACAATTCAGGTACTGTACCATGGGTGTCTCTTTCGAAATATAGCTAACATCCGTTTTACCCGTTAAATGTAAAACACAGCCATGATAAGTGAATATGGCTACTTTAGCTCCCACCGCAAAATCATATTTTTTCTTTTTTACCAATTCGGTGCCGAACATTTCCGCAAATCCTGAAATAAGCTGCAAACTTAAATTAGTTTCATGCATCCCCAAAAATCTATTTTTCGCTGACTTACCGTCACTTGCACTTTAGCATCTTTATCTTCGATTTCAAAACGCAATTCGGAATCAGCCTCCAATGTGTATTCTTTATAGTTTTTATTTTCCTCAGTCATATTTATTTTTTTTTACGAAATTATAATAAAATAATTTTTACTGGCACAAAAAAAAATGCGCTCGAAAAAAGGAAAAAATCAAAACAAACAACAAAAAACAGCTGTCATGTTGCACTAACAGTGATGTTAACGCTAGTTGTGTAACACTGTATTTAGAAAAAGCTATTTATTTCAAGATATTATACTTTTTTAAAACATTTCAGTTCTTATTTCCATAATTTTAAAATATTTAAAAGTTTCAATTATATCATACATAACAAATTTTTCAAATATTTTAAAGTTCAATAATTAAGAAAAATGTTCAAAATTCGCGAATATTGTAAAATTTTAATATATACAAAAATTTTGTAATTGAAACTTTTTTTTAAAAAATCGACAAATATTGTTAACTTTTATAATATTTACTATAAAATTTTGCTATATATCATTACAAAATATCGTTAAATTTTTAATTATGTATTATAAAATTTTCAAATAAAATTAACTTTTTTAAAATAAAGTTTAAATATTGTTTCATAATATAATAACTTAATCTTAAAATATTGCAATATGCACAATTTATTTAGATTAAAGTTGAATGCTTATAAAAAACGTTCCAATATTTAAAAAATTCACATATATAAATGTTTCTTGTAAAAATAATTTGCATTCAAAATCTTTCCACTAAAATAATTTGAGACAGAAAAAAAATATTGTTTAAAAACAACTTAGCCGGATGACAGCTAATTTGAAACCATTGCAGAGATGTTGCGTTTCTCCGGCGTTAATTTTGCATAGTCTGCGAAGAACTCTGGTATACACCGAAACGAAATTTTCATATACAATTTTGCAAAATATTTATTTTGTTTTTCGTACACACAACAATTAATAAAAATTATTTATAATAGTGAATAAATTATTTGTGTATGTTTTAAAAGCATAAAATCTTTTAAATGAATAAGAAATAATGGATTTAAAAAACATTTAAAGAAAACGAATAGAGAAAAACTTTTTCACACAGTGCGAGAGAGCAATACAGAGAAAGGAAGAAGCAGAATAAGAAAAAAATATTTTTTTTTTAGTTTAATATCCACCAGCAGTCGAGTGGAGTAAAAAAAGTAAATGTAAGAAAGAAATTTGGATTTTAGAAAAACGTAAAACGTTCTTCATTTTGTTGGTATAAACAGACATAATATTGGCAAATATTGAAGAAGTGCCAGAGGAAGGCAGTAGCGGCGTCATGTGGGACTCATCAATGTTCCTCAGCACTTTGACGCCTAAGTTCTATGTGGCTTTGACGGGAACATCTAGCTTAATATCGGGACTTATATTGATATTCGAGTGGTGGTATTTTCGTAAATACGGTACTTCATTTATAGGTGAGTGCGTTAGTTGGACTGGAAAAAACTTAAAAACAAATCAAAAACTTTGTCAAAACATCTGCTTTACAATTGTTTATACCTATTTGCAGAACAAGTTTCCATCAACCACATAAGTCCTTGGATAAACGGTAGTGATTCGTCCAGTGATTCCACAACCAACGGCAGTGGCAGCAGCTCTAGCAGTGGCTCAACAAACGGTAATAACGGGACAACTGGTGTCGGTGGTGTCACTTCAGCAAATGGTCAACAAATGCCCGAATGCAAAGTATGGCGTAATCCTTTAAATCTTTTTCGTGGTGCCGAGTATCAACGTTTCTTTTGGGCGACCAGCAAAGAACCCTTGACCTACTATGACATGAATCTTTCGGCCCAAGATCATCAGACATTTTTTACGTGTGAGGGTGATGCACGCAAAGAGGAATATGAAATTATGCAAACGGCTTGGCGTGAAAGAAATCCGGTGCAACGTATTAAATCGGCCCACAATGCAATTGAAATAAATCCAGAATGTGCCCCAGCCTACATACTGCTGGCGGAAGAGGAAGCAACTACCATACTGGAGGCTGAACGTATATTGCGCACAGCTTTAAAGGTGGCCGAGCAGAATTATCGCAAATCACAACTCACACAACATCAAGGACCCATAGCAGAGGGACTGCATCGTCGAGACACAAATGTTCTTATTTATATACGGCGCCGTCTGGCGATGTGTGCCCGTAAATTGGGTAAGTTAAAAGAGGCTGCGAAAATGTTTCGCGACCTAACAAAGGAAATTCCCTCAATAATGAATGTTTTAAACATTCATGAGAATCTCATTGAAACATTATTGGAGATGCAGGCGTATGCTGATTGCCAAGCAGTATTAGCAAAGTACGATGACATCTCTTTGCCAAAATCGGCTACCATTTGTTATACAGCAGCATTGCTGAAGGCCAGAGCGGTGGCGGATAAGTTTTCACCAGATATCGCCTCCAAGAGAGGCCTGAGCCCGGCAGAAATGTGTGCCGTTGAAGCTATACATCGAGCCGTTGAGTTTAATCCTCATGTGCCGAAGTATTTACTTGAAACCAAACCTTTAATCCTGCCACCCGAACATATATTAAAGAGAGGCGATTCCGAGGCTCTGGCATATGCATTCTTCCATTTGAAACACTGGAAGAACATAGACGGTGCTTTGAATCTGCTGCATTGTACTTGGGAGGGCACATTTCGCATGCTACCGTATCCCTTAGAGCGCGGTCATCTCTTCTATCCATACCCCACATGTACAGAGTGCGCTGATCGTGAGTTGTTACCGGCCTTTCATGAAGTATCCGTTTATCCCAAGAAAGAATTACCGTTCTTTATACTTTTTACAGCGGGCTTGTGTTCTTTTACGGCCCTGCTGGCTTTGTTGACACATCAGTATCCCGAACCTATGGGTTTGTTGGCACAAACAGTACTTACCTGGATATCGTATCCATTTCAATTGCTCAAAGAACGCATTGAAGCATTTTGGCCTTGTAATCTATTGCAACATTTGTCAAGAGTTTAAACATTCTCAATACAACTCCACCACCGTCGGCGGCGATGATGACGATATAACACACGTTTATACTCTCTCGCACAATTATTATTATAATTATCGATGATAACAATTTTATAACTTTTGGTTATTTTTCAGCCATTTATTATTATTATTACATTACATACTGCATACAGGTAAACACATACATACATTGTTTGTTAGGCTTTCCGTTATTCCTTCTTATTTTTCTTGTTTTTTTTTTTTATATATATTTTACTCTAATTTAATGAAATATTTTCCTAATTTCTGAACAACACGTTCGGCTAATAATTTATTTATTTACACTAAACTAATTTTTTATTATTTTTCTTACGTTTATACCTATGAAAAATAAAAACAAAATATTTTATTTATTCCTTCTGTTGGTTTTAATTAAATTGAATATTAACGAAAAACAAAAACAAGTTTTCATTATTATTATTTAATTTAAAAAGAAAATTGAATAAATATTGTATTAAACAAAAAGAAAAACACATATTCCCAAAATAAAAGTAAATCTTAGTATTACTTCAGCAGAAATCAGCAAGTACTTATTGTTTTATTAAAAAAAATAATTATTTTACAATTTTAAAAATTTTTTAATTTTGATAAAAATTGAAATTTCCGAAAAAAATTAAATTTTTGTTTAAACATATTTTAATTATTGTTTTTTTTAATTTTGGTAAAAATTAGAATTTCTGAAAAAAGTGTAATTTTTGTTAAAATTTGAATTTTTGTTGAAAATTTGTATTTGTGGTGAAATTTCAATTTATGTTAATAATAAGAACGCAAAACGGTCCTAACTAACCAAAAATTCAAATCGCGTAATAAAGCTCGTATATTTGTCAACCTATAACAGGATGAATTTCTCAACTAGAATACTTACATACATAAGTGGTCTAGAAGTAGTGATCATGGTACTTTCCTTCGAAATTAAATACTAAAAATCGTATATCTGAGAAGCTATAACGGCTAAAACCTACGAATACATCTACTATCAAAATACTATGATTATAGATTCACCCATTTAGAATGTGCAATAAAGAATCAGTCAGTAACGCGACTCTTTTGCAAATTATTTAACAAACTTTACGGTCTGCAGCAGGCATGGAAAATTTGAAATAGTACTAACTTAAAACAAAATTAGTACTTTTTACATTTTAGAGTACTAAAGTAATTTTCCATTCGACTATAGACTAGATTATAGACTAGACTATATACTAAACTACAGACTAGACTATAGACTAGACTATACTCTAGACTATAGACTTATCTATAGACTAGACTATACGATAGACAATAGATTAGACTATAGACTAGACTATACGATAGACTATAGATTAGACCATAGACTTGACTATAGACTTGACTGTAGACTAGACTATAGACTAGACTGTAGACTATACTATAGACTAGACTGTAGACTATACTATAGACTAGACTATAGTATTGACTATAGACTATACTTCAGACTGACTACTATGTGGTTAGGTTAGGTTTACATAGGTAGCCAATTTCGGCTTTACTTGGGTCCATGTTGATCCCTTTGTAAAAATACCTGTAAGAAGAAGAAAAGAGAAGAGAGGGAGAGATAGAGGAGAGTGATAGAACAGAGACAGTTGCAAAGAGAAGGAGATGATGAGAAATGAGAAAGCCAGGGCAGCTGCCGTGGATGAGTAGTGTGAGTAATAGGATTCACACCCATTTTGACAAATTAATGAACTCTAGAAGACGTTCTAATTGAATGTTTGACAATTCGGTTAGATCACCAAAATAGGTCGATCCAAGCGTCTGAAAACGGGCCTCCGCCAAAGCAGGAAGATGAGTAATAGTCTCTTCTTCATCCTCGTTTTGACAACTCCTACAGTAATCGTTGAACGGGAGACCAATGCGTCTGGCATGGTTCCCAAATTTACAGTGGCCAGTGATTATCGATATCAGCCTACTTAACTGCGGTCTTTGGAGACCAAGAAGATATTTAGACCTTTGAGGATCCATTTGTGGCCACAGTACTCTACATGTTGAGCACGTGTGTGGACTACTGACCAAAAATTTTTAAGCTACAATAAGTACCGATTGAGTCATGGGGGTACCGAGGAATTTTTCTCTATCAAAAATTACTGAAAAAAGTACCAAAGTACTGAATTTTCCATGCCTGGTCTGCAGTAACTTTATGGAGCGTTCGTTACCACTGTCGTAAATCATTTATTACCAACTAGATAACTGTCAATTTAAATTTCTTATCATCTAACAGCTATTTATTGTAGTTTACAATTAGCGTAGATGCAAAAAAAATGTCAATACAAATTTTTAGTTATCATTGATCTGGGAACTGAAACGTTACTATATGTGATTTTGAAATACTTAGTTAAAATTTGCTCGTATTTATTAAAGTTTTTTTCCTTTTAGAGAAAATACATTTTTCATGTAAATCCTCAATAATGCAGAGAACAAGTGTAAATACTAGCTCCACAACCGATATTGAGGAAAATTTGTACAAAGAAAAACTACCAAATGTGAAATCGACCTTAAAATTTGCTGCCAAGTATTGCTGCTCAATATCGAGAAAAATTCCCATTATCTCTTGGTTGCCGAAATATGAAAAAAGTTTTATATTCGCAGATTTTATAGCCGGTTTTACGGTGGGTCTAACTATGATACCGCAAGGCATTGCCTATGGTGTAGTGGCTGGTCTGGAACCACAATATGGCTTATATTCGGCGTTTATGGGTTCTTTTATGTACATTATATTTGGTTCCTGTAAAGATGTTACTATAGCCACCACTGCAATTATGGCCTTAATGGTCCATCCCTATGCTGTCTTAAGTCCAGAATATACTGCTATGATAGCCTTTTTCACGGGATGTATTGTATTAGCATTGGGTCTTTTAAATCTGGGGGTGCTAGTAAGATTTATATCAATACCCGTTATTATAGGTTTTACCACAGCTGCCGCCATAACGATAGCTAGTGCTCAAATTAATAATATTTTCGGCATAAAAGCTCCTTCAAATGATTTAATACCAGCTTGGAAATATTTCTTTATACACCTTAATGACATTGGTTGGAATGACGCAGTATTGGGTTTAGTTACTTTAGCCTTATTGTTGGTCATGAAGAAAGTCAAGGATATACCTTTTGGTAATCGAACCTTTTGGAAATATGTTTCTTTGTCTCGCAATGCAATGGCTGTTATAGTTGGTACTTTCTTGGCTTATATCTTAAGTCGTGATGGCACTCAAACCTTTAAAGTAACTGGTAATATCACAGCCGGTTTGCCGCCATTTAAGGTGCCGCTAACAGGTACCACTGTCAATGGAACCGAAGTAACTTTAAAGGAAATGATGAATACGGTGGGTGCCTCATTTGCTTCCATACCTTTGGTGGCCATTTTAGAGGTGGTAGCTATAGCTAAAGCATTTTCCAAGGGAAAAATTGTGAACGCTTCACAGGAAATGATTGCTTTGGGTATGTGTAATATAATGGGTAGTTTTGTGTCGTCAATGCCAGTTACCGGCTCATTTACACGCACAGCCGTTAATAATGCCAGTGGCGTTAAGACAACTTTGGGTGGTTTGGTAACTGGAAGTTTGGTATTAATGGCTTTAGCGTTTCTAACCCAAACATTCTATTATATACCTAAAGCTACTTTGTCGGCCATTATAATTGCTGCCATGATATCACTGTTGGATGTGGAGAAAATTCATGATACTTGGAGATCAAAAAAGAAGGATTTCTTACCATTTTTGGTAACTCTGTTTGTTTGCCTATTTTGGAGTTTGGAATATGGTATTTTATGTGGTATTGCCTCCAATCTTTTCTACATTCTATATAGTAGTGCTAGGCCCCAACTACGGCTATATATTTATAAATTATTGGATTATGAATTTGCTATGGTTGATGTTAAACAAAAGCTGGACTATGCCTCAGCCGAATATCTTAATGAAAAGGTGCTACATTTTGTTAATTTACACCAAAAACATGATATACATTTAGTCGTTATCAACGGCCGGGAAATTAATAGTATTGATTATACAGTCGCTGCAAATATTGTGTCTTTAAGAGAAGATTTAAAAGTATTAAACTGTGATATGATCTGCTGGAATTGGAATATATCATCAGCTGGTGTAGTTTGTCGTTTAAATAATAAAATGCGTGATATGTTTAAGTTTCACAAATCATTAGAGGAAACTATTGAGGAATATCTAAAAAACCATTATACAAATGCCTCTGAGGCAACATTGTATTCGGTGTCATAACTAAGTCAAACTAAGTGAAATAGAATAAATAAGGTTATGGTTTGAATTGAGTTTTCAGAATATTCAAAACAAACTTGCATACAGTTTGTTTTCAGGTCATTAAAATATAAAATTAATTTTTGTAATAAATTGTATATATAAAAAAATGTTGGTGTCATTTCTTTCGAACATTACTTTGCATATTGTTGTCGGAAAGAGCCATTAATAAATAAATATTTTTCAAAAATAATTCAACGTTAAAATTATTATTTAAAAAAAAATAAAATCAAAATGTTTAAAAAAATATTTCAAATTTTTAACGTTTGAATAATTTTTTTAATTCTTAAAAAATAAAAAAAAAAAATCAAAAGGAAAAAAGAAATACAACAAATACGTTTCAGAAACTTTATTACGCTTTAGTTCTTAACATTAAATAATTAAAGCCTACATGGCCAACTAAATACATGTTAGAAAATATCGATATATATATGTATGTATGTAGTATATCGTTAAAAACATTCGAAATACTTTATTCTGATAGACTAAAATTTGAAAAATTGTTAAAATGGGATTTAGTTATATTGCTTATAAATACATTAATATGTAAATAGTTACTTATGATTTAAATATCAAAATTGTCATGATAAAAATTTGAGTCAAATTTTTGTGTGTTAGTAAAAGCTTTTAAGGCACTTTTTTGTGTTATATATATATATTTATAGGTTCTTAAGGCACCTTTATAGTAAATATACGTACATGTATATAGAATTTATAATTGACATATGTAGAACATACCCTGACAATCAGGACATCTCTTAGATAATTCATAGGGATTATTTGGATTTAATGATAGATAAAATTTCCTAATAGCTTGTTTAATTTCAGAGCCTTTTCTTGAAATGTATTCATAGCTTAAATCATGAAAATTCTTTGTAACATATATTAATATACGATATAAAACTGATTCTGTGGGTATAAATAATCTCAAAACTTTTTGAATCTCATTTAGGAAATTTTCTATAAATTCTTTAGCTAATTCCATCAAATATCTCAATACTTGCTCTTGTAAATGGTCGGCCATAGTTAAAATAACATCTTTAAATTTATAACCATCGGCAATATTATCCATAAACATATTGCCGTACTGCTGTAGCATTATGACAACACCATTTGGTAAGGCAACTGCAAGATTACGCAAAATAGATATAGCATTTTGGGATTGCTTTAGGGGATTCAAGGGATCTTGATTCATATCAATATTTTGTTCAACAATTCCCGTTGAATACAGTAATCTGGCCATTTTAGGAGTTTGTGTTGTATAGGTATCGGAATTATGTGTAGAGGGTATGGGCTGTGTAACTTGCTCCAATATATTAGGCCCCTTTTGATGTTGTACACTTTGTCTTAGCACAGATGTTTCGACGGGTAATTCGTTATTCAAAACCACCCCCTTACCACTTTCACCAAAAGCTGGTCGTACACTTTTTTTATTCAATTGTTTGTTAATTTTAAATAAATCATTTAAATATTGTCGATCGGGAATCTCATTAACACCACGTATAATATCCATTTTACCTTGAGTATTGCCACGTATGCGTACAGTTTCTTTTGACATTTTATCAAAGATTTTTCTGCAAGCAAAGTTTTCAATCGAAATATTTATCGATGTGCTATTATACTCTACTTACCTTTGACGATTACTTAAAGTTTCACGATAGGATTGTATAGATTTGACACGAGCATCATTTGCGATTTGTGAAGCCAATTGAAAGTTATAGAGTGAATGTGTAAATAACACCAAAGATGCTGATAACTGTAGAACATCTAGCGATGAAATTTTTTCATCATCGTTATATTTCTGCATAAACAATATAGGTATTTATTCGCTAAATATTTTTTTGTACTAGCATATAATTTTACTTACAAATATTAGATCTAAAACACCATTTGCTACACCACTACCGGATAGAACAATTGATGTTATATTAATGCCATTAACAAAAACTTCTATACCCTATTTTAACAAAAAGAAAACTAAAATAAAACTAATTATTTCAAATGAAAATTAAAACAGCTTACCGCAGTAGCTTTACCAGCTGCCGCCATTGACGTCATAGCGGTCGTGGCACCAGCTGCAGCCACACCTACCGCACCACCCACCATTCCCAGATAACTGCCTCTAGCTTGGCTATCTTTTATACTTATAGACTGTTCATGCTTCGCACGATCAGACAAATTCAATGCTGAAGTTATGGATGTAAACGCCCCAACGCCTAAACCAATTATACCAGCTGCAGCTACAATAGGAGCTGCTACGGGCAAAGCTAAAGCTGCTAAAGGCACGCAAGCTGCTCCAATGCCCACTACCGCTGAACCAGTTTGTGCCATATTCATAAATTTAGCACCTGCTGTCCCACTGGGTGTACAATAGATGTCCAATATAACATCATTATATTTATCAAAGTTATAAATACCATGGCGTGGTGCAATCATTGTACCAGCCGGCAAAACATTTTCATTTACAAAAGATTTCCAGTTCTGATAAACTCTGCCGGTTTCGTCCACATAAATCATACAGCATTTGCTACTATCGGAGTTGTCTTGTTAACAAAAAAAAAAAAAAAAGAAAATAATTTAAGTTATAAAAGTGTTTAGTTATTGATTTCAAAAACCTACTATCGCATTTTTTACAGCGAAATACCGGATGACATGAAAATTCAGTGGATTCGGGTGCAGTGTTGAAATCTTCATCTTTAGTTACCATCACATAAAATATATAAGTAATGGATGAGCGATTTGTGTATTTTCCTAAATAAAAGTAGACACTTGCATTAGTGAAATATGGAAATAATCGAAACAAAAGTTTTAACTTACTTTGAGCCCATACACTTTCGAAAATGGTCATTCTAAGTTTTTCAATTGACTTTTGTCCCTTTTCTTGATCGGGTATTAATTGTTTTATTTTTTCCTTCATAACATCAGCATCATTATATCCCAGGCTAATGAAAAATATATAGAAAAATATGTATTTAAAATATGTATGTATTTATAGTAGATACATACATAGTTTTTAAATTTATTATTTCTATGTGCAGTGCAGTCTAAGGTCTAGTCTATTGACAAGTCGAGTTTATAATCTAGTCTTTAATATAGTCTATTGTCTAGTCTATAGTCTAGTAAATAGTCTAGTCTATAGTCTAGTCAATAATCTAGTTTATAGTCTAGTCTATAGTTTAGTCTATAATCTTGTCTAGTCTATAGTGTATTCCAAGTCTAATCTTATAGTTCAGTCTATAATCTAGTCAATAGCCTAGTCTATAGTCTAGGCTATTGTCTAGTCTATAGTAGAATTTAGAATTTTCTCTATGGAAGTAATGAAAAAGATTATTTTTACTCAGGCATGTCATAGAAGGAATGCGCTTTTTTTTTATTAAAATAAATATATGTTTTATTAATTTAAATAAATATATGTTAAATTAATTTTCAAATGAGTTTGTTGTGCTAAATCATAACAAACAATGCCAATCTGACGTTTTTAGAACAATTTAATTGAAATATTTCGAAAATAAACATTTGTACTTTTTTTTTACTCAATTGTACGGCTTTTTTAACTACGATGTAAGTTTTTTGCCGATATCAAATCTGGCAAGCCTAGTATAGACTCTAGAGTCTATGTATCTATAGTTACATATATGGTCTACAAATTATCGATACCCACACTAACACAGTGAAATCGTTTTAAAAAAGTTATTAATCAAAATTATTTGCAATAATCTACATACATTAAGATATAAATGTATATACATTAGGATGGCCCGTTTGTATAGAGAGAAATAAGAAATAGATATAGAGAAAAATTAAAAAAATTTAAAACTTTTGCAATACCACAAACGTGTTTCATACGATATTGAAATCACCTTTTAAAGACTTTCAAATTATACCAAATTTGCGTATATTTTCTTAGCTAGAGAAATATGAAAAATCTAAAAAAAGGTCCTTTTTATTCTTTGATCCAGCTCAACAAATATTGATGTCAGGACAAACATTTTAAGAAATTGTATCTTAGAATGAACTAAATTTTTTTTTTCGGTGGAAACATCAGCCAAATCTTTAATAGGCTACCCTAATATTAATACACGTATGTATGTACATACATATGTACATATGTATGTATGTAAATATGTATCACGCTACGTATTTTTTGCACTTATTTTAATGTACTAATCATTAGAAAACAATTAATACAGCGTAATAAATAACACAAATAACTTACAGATCCCATATGATTTTATCTTGGAAACCACAATTTTGGGCCAACTCCTGCTGTGCTTCTTTTATTGTTTTTTTACGAGAACTTATTGCCGGCAGTTCTTGTGCTGTAATTTCAATTTCAGGCTCCTCCACAATATTTCTCTCTAAATTACCCACAACATTCTCTTCAGATGGTGGCGGTCGAGATATTCCACTCAATAACTCTTCCAATTGGACGACATTCAAAGTATCAATTGCAACCATTTCAACTATATCGACTTGCTTAGAACCCAATAATGCAATCAAAACATTTTCCATTTCCACACGACTACCTTCTCGAGAGAGCTGGTGTTCCAACATTAATTCTTCGAGTTGTTGCAAGGAAAGCGCTGAAACATCCATAGATTTAACAATGGGAATCTTATCACTTCCAATGTCTTTACGCAATTGTTCCTTTGACATCATACTGTCTACTGTACTACTGATCGTCTGTGGCTGTTGTGATGATATGGGGTTCAATTTATAGACTATTTTCTTCCACATGGCAACAAAGGAGGGGAACCCCAAAATTATGAAAGAAAAAGAATGGAAGAAATGAAAATTGGTGGTTGTTAATGTTATTGGTTACTTGGTTAATCAGCTGCCGGGCAGATAACCAAGTCGATTCAAAATTAACGACGCCGTCAAAGTCTATTTTGCTAGGCGGCTTCGTCAAATTTTATTAACATGCCTTTTCACATACAAAAACATAAGTAAGTTTTTGGAATTAGATTATTAGAATTAGAATTAGATTATTGAATTACGATTTCAAAATAAGAATATAATAAATATCAAAAAAAAAAAAAAACAAAATATTTATGTATTCTACTGGATAAAAAACTGAACTTCAATGATCACCTGTCTGGCTTTGATCTTGTTTATGAAAAGATAAATAAAATAATAACAAATTTTAACAGAAAATGTGAATTGTCCAGGTATAGTCACATTAATGAACTGCTTTCAGCATAATTTTATTCCGCTAACATAATAATTCCTAAGCTTTTCATAAAGGTTTTTTTTAATTTTTTTTTTATTTTTTTATTTAATTAAAACACTTATGTTATAAATAATTTATTTTTTAAATAACAAAGTTGAAAAGGATTTTAATTTTCCTAAACTCTTTAGAAATTAAGAATACTGTAAAGCAACAATTTATAATAAATATATAATTAAATATCAAATGTAGCTGATAATCTCTGCTTAAAAGTAATATTATTCATTTCAATTTATCAGGATTTAAAAAAATGGATGCTTAAAGAAAATTAGTCACAAAAAATAGTTGAAATTTTTATTTTGAAAATGAGATTTTTTTTGAAATTTAATTTCTTTTTAGATTTATTTGCTTTCATTTGATAGCAGCATTACAATCATTCAAGTCGAAAAGTTGAAGTCGACTATTATCTTCCAAAAATGTCGAAAAGTCGACTTTGTAAATAAAAGTCGAAAAGTTGGAAAAAGTCGGTAAAAGTTGGAAAAAGTCGGAAAAAGTCGTAACAAGTCGAAAAAGGTCGAAGTCCAAATAAGTGGAAAAAAAAGTCAAAAACTCTAAAATAGTGGGAAAAGTCAAAAAAAAGTAAAAAATTCTAAAATAGTCGGAAAAATTCGAAAATAGTCGGAATAACACGAAAAAAGCCAAAAACAGTTTAAAAGTCGCCTTTTAAGTTTCAACTATAGAACCCTATTTTCTGGTGTGAAAGCATTTTTAAATTATTAACTTGTTACAGGGTGTAATGTAAGTAATATACATACAAATTTGTAAGCTTATTTTTTTAAGTGTAAAATACAACCCTGCTGTTAAACACAGCTCAATAGTGAAATAGAAAAAAAACAGGTTCATTCATTCTTTTAAAATTTTATTTGTTGTGTTGGAGACTTGGATGAGCAACCCAAAAAGTAATAATAATAAATATTGAAAAATAAATGAAAAATCTATTAAAATAAATTAAAAAATACTTGAAAAAACAAAAAACCTAACAAAGTGTAAGTATTTAAAACGAATAACAAAGGAATTCATATCAAATGTAAACAAATTAAAATTTCCAATACGAATTGGACGCCACACCCTAAATTAAGCCAAGCTTTATACATAGGGGAGTGTCCATTGTAAAAAAGTGTCAATTTTAAACTAAAATGAAGAATTATTAAATAAAAAAAAAACTAAATACAAACAATTTTGTAAATTTTCTTTTACTATAGAGATTTCAACCTAAAGGTCTGTAACAAAATAGGTTTTATGGAAAATATACCTAAATGCGTGCTGTTGTTATGGTGAAACGTGTGTCGTCGTCACAAATTCATGTTCATGTCAATTTCTTAATGCCTGCTGTTTAGCATTATATGAAGAAAAGTCTGAGTGTTTGAAAAATAAAAGAAATTCACAAGTTTTTCCAACTATTTACCACAGTGTCTTGGAAAAATCTCTTTATATTAGTCTTCTGCTTACAAGACTATGTCAACACTCGAAGAACGTACAGCTTACAAAGATAATCCCTTCTTTACTGGTCATATTTATGGTAATTTTTCACCATTTTATGTGACCATAGCTGTATGTACCGTCGTACTCGGTTCGATAATCATTTTAAATATAATCTTTGGTTGCTGTTCGAAACATCGTCAGTATTGGCAGGATAGACATACCGGCAATCGTTGGCTTGTATCCATTTGGTCAGCAACTCCACATAATCAACCACCATTGGATTTTACTGAACTAAAAGACGCTAAATATTTTCAAAGTTTACAGGTAAGTTTTTATAAAAAGAAATTACAAAATTAAATTTGTACAATCGATTCAAAATCAACCTCTGAATCGTTTAATCTATTTCCGTTTATGTGTCCATGTAAATCTTGTGCCCACACTACAGGTCGTAATTTTGGCACATATACACAAGTATCACGATTAAATTCTACATAAATAACTCTACCAAAATTTATTTATCTGTTACCCTTGTCCATATATAACCACTCTTTCAGAAAAGCATTATTTTTTGTTAATGAATTGTTCAAATATTTCGGAATTAAGAAAATAAATAATACACATATTTAACATACTCACTACTGGTGTAGGGTATCATATGATCGGTCATGCCGGACTATACATTCTTACCTGTTTATTGATTATATTACTTTTTGCCACAGCCTGCTCCCCGTCTTTTTAGCGAAGATATTGAAGCCCAAATAGAAGACGTGCCCATACATCATCAGTATCAACAAAGACCTACCCGCCCCGAAGGCAGAGGTTTACATCAGCAAAGACAGCGTGAAGAATACGTTGAATTACATACCAAACGAGAAAGCGATATTTAATTTTTTTTTATTTTTGTTTGTTTATTTAAAAATGGCTTTTATTATTTTATATCCAGCTGTAGCTGCTTTAGCTTTATTCATTGTGGGTGTTATTATTATAATGTTACGTTTTGGACCACGACTCTGTGGTCTAAGACATCATGCCTTGCCCGACAGTGAAGAGTATCGTGAGCGTGCCTACGATCATGAAATCAGTTATGCTTGATATATATAATTTACAAGTTTTATTTAAATTTTTAAATTATTTCAATACTACTTTTATCCCTCCATTTTGTTTTAATGTTTTTTAAGTGCCTTTTTATAAATAAACTATTCTTGTAAGCAGCTTTGTTAGAATTTAAGTGGAAGAGAGCGAAGAAACAGTTTTTTTCTTAAGTATTGATATATTATCTGCTTTTATTTAAATGTTTCTCAGCTTTTAAATTAAAATTTTGGCAATTAGTTTTTTTGTTTCAGAATGTTATGAAAGTAATTTTCAATTATGTATTTGTTTTTACTCAATTTTAAAGAAATTTCCTAAGCAGATTGATTCTCTTAAATTCTAATTTGTTTTCAACAACTGCTTATTAGGTATTATTTATCTTAAATGTATTTACATTATTTATATTTGTAGCATTTATATAAAAATCCATTCCGTCCAGTTTAAATTTAACAAAAAAAATTTTAAACCTTCACAAATTATAGTAGTAAGCCTAACATATCACATTGATTTACATTATGTATTTTTACAAATTTACTAAAATATTTTTATATGTATGCCCTATTTGCGGTATATATTTTTATTAAATATATTTTATATGTATTTTACGAATAAAAAATAAAATTATGTACTAAATATAATAATACATACTATAAAATTGTTTATATTATTCTTTCTATCGACAATCGAATGTAATTTGTTTCTCTAGGTAAAGTAAAATCCCAGCAAAACTTGGTAATGAATTGTACTTACATAACCACTTACTTTTCAATGACTACTACTTACCGTCTGCATCATTTTCAAGTACTTTTATAATTACTTACATATAATCTAGGAACTCTTTTTTCGATTCGAATTTAAATGCAGAATAGGGGTGATTGATTACTCTATGTATTACCCTTTTTACTAGCCTATATACTACTATATGGACTACTCTATTGACTTATATATGGATTAACACGTGGACTAGACTATTGACTATCTCATAAAGGCCTGCACAAGACAACAATAATACGACAATTTGTTAAAAATTTCATCATAAGCACACGAAATTTTTTTTTTAGCAAATTGTCGCATTATTGTTGTCTTGTCCAGGCCTTTTCTATCTAAGTACTGGTCTATGGTCTAGTCTATGGATTATGTAATCTATTGAAGTCTATGGGCTAGTCTATGAATTATTCTATTATCAAGTCTATTGACTAGCCTATGGTCAACTTTATTGCCTCAACTAGTGATCAATCTATTAATAAGTCAATTGTGCGCCATCATAAGCACACGAATTTTTTTTAGCAAATTGTCGCATTATTGTTGTCTTGTCCAGGCCTTTACTATCTAAGTATTGGGGTATGGTCTAGTCTATGGATTATGTAATCTATTGAAGTCTATGGGCTAGTCTATGAATTATTCTATTATCAAGTCTATGGTCAACTTTATTGCCTCAACTAGTGATCAATCTATTAATAAGTCAATTGAATAGCCTATGGACTAACTATACACTTACTAGTCTATAGATAACTCTATATTCTAGTCTAAGCATTATTTTATTCACTAGCCTGTTGACTTTAAGTATAATATATACTAGACTAGTCCATGGAGTAGTCAATGAACTGTAGACTAGATTATATATGATCTACATATGTATATATACTCTATGTACTATTTTATATACTAGTCTATTGACTAAGCTTTTAAGCTATTTACTGATTAGTATATTAAATAATCTATGTATTACACTATTGACTAGTCTGTGAATTATTCTATCGACTAGTTTTTTTGATTTCTCTGTGGATTGCACTATTGACTAGTATATGGATTATACAATTGATTAGTGTACTGACTGTTCTTTGAACAAGTCTATTGACGTGTCTATGGACACTAAGCAATAGACAAGTGCATAGACCAGACTATTTATAATGGACTTCATTAGTCTATGGACTAAACTATTGAGTTCTTTTCGACTAGTCTATTAACTAGTCTGTGGAATACACCATTGACTAGTCTATAGACTAGTCCTTGGGTTAGTCTATAGATAAGTCTATTGACTAGTCTATAGATAAGTCTATTGACTAGTCTATGGATTAGTTTATTGACAAGTCTATGAATTAGTGTATAGACTGGTCTATTAACTAGTCTATTGTATAGACAAGTAAATAGAGTAGTCTATACACTAGCCAATTGACTGTGAACTTGTCTATATACTAGTCCATGATATAATCCAAGGATTAATCAACTGAACTGTTTATGAATTAGTCTATCAATTAGTTTACTGACTAGTCCATTGACTGGTACTGTGAAATTTTTCGATGCCAAAAAGTACTGACAAAAGTATAGTACTGAAGTTTTGCATGCCTGATATTTTCTCTAAACCTTCTCTTTACTGAGGGTGCAGTCTTCGAATGTCTAATTTTTCTATTTGAGAATTCCATTTACAAAGTCAAACAATTGTAATTCTATTCGAAAGCATCTCTGTACCGAATATATAAAATTTCTTTAAGGCAATTTATAAACAATTATTCACCGTTAGTTTTTTCCCTTTTATCACAGGGAATTTATTATTCAGAATAGACTTGAATATCTTCCGTACTAAAGGAACCGGAAACACATTGAGTGTGAACGTAGCTTAAATGTAAAACAAGTAAGAAAGTATAGTCGGACGTGGCCGACCATATGATACCCTACACCAGTTATGAATATTAAATGTGATTTAGTTTTCATAATAAAGCATTTATCTTCATTATTTCCTTGTTCCGATACATTTAAACAATTTATGGATGAAAAACTAATTTTCTGAAAGAGGCTTTATATGGGGCTAGGGCCAAATATGGACCAAGCCCTATAAAATTTTGTGAATATATTTATATTTACATAATATTTTATTGTGCTGAATTTCATCGCGATATTTGTGTTTATAAGTTAATTTGGGACATTCAAGTAATTTTCTGAAGGGGACTTTGTATGGGAGCTAGGGTCAAGTGGGGCCCGATCTTTATGAAATTTGGCAGGGTCATCAAGACTTCTATAATAGTTGTGCCGTATTTAATCGATATATCTGTATATTTAACATAATTATGAGCTCAGAAGCCCTTTTCGGGGGGTTCTATTCTATGGGGGCTAGGTGAAATAATGGACCGATTTTAACCATTTTCAATAGGCTTCGTCCTTGGGTCGAATAAAACGTGCGTGCCATATTTCATCCAATTATCTTGAAAATTGCGACCTATACCTTGCGCACAAGGTTTACATGGACAGCCAGCAAGCCAGACGGACGGACGGACATAGCTTAATCGACTCAGATACTTTAAGGTGGGTCTAGGACGAATATTTTTGTATGTTACAAACATCAGCACAAATCCAATATACCCTCCGCACTAAAGTGGTGTAGGGTATAAATACAACGTTACAAAAACCTTTTTTTATATAAAACACACATACTTTCTTTTAGTTTTATTTAATAGTTTATTTAATTTATTTTTCTTGTGTTTTTATTTATACTGGCTTTTAGTTTAGGTTGTCGATAAGTTTATTAAGCAGTTTATTTGTTTTTGCATATAAATTCATAAATTGTGATTGCTTTTAGTATTTGTGGTGTTTTTTTATATATTTTATTTTAATTGTTTGTTTAACTATTTTATAAAATAATAATTATTATGTTTTTTTTTGTCATATTAATAAGAAATATTACTTATATTATTTAACTAAATATATAAAGTTTCAAAATTAACATGCAGTAATAACATTTTTTATATAGAACAAAATTATAAATTCTTTTTCTTTTAATAATTAAAAAAAAAGTATTCAACTGTTGTAAGGGTTGTTTAACACTTTTAATTCTTTTATATTTTTTGCAGTATTATAGATTTTTTTATTAATATTTTAGGGATAATTTCAATTACTAAACAGTTTTGTTTTATTTTGTTTTATAACGTTTTTCTTTATAAAGTTAGTTTAATGTTTATAAATTATTATATAAATGCAAGTTTAACTTGTTTAAATTTTAAATAATTTTTTTTTTATATTTTTTTAACTTTAATAAATCATTTGTTTTCTTAATAAGTTAGTAAATTATTTAATAAAATTTTTTTATAAATAAATTAAATTTAAATTTAATTAACTTTTCTTTATAATAATTGTTTTGTTTTTGCAAATAAAAGGCACTTTTAAAGTATTTTTCTTGTTTAAATTTAAAATTTTCAAAAACAATTAAATGTCAAAGCTGGGGTTAGACTGTTTAGTGGCTAATTTTTGCTTTCGTATAAAATTTGCAGTAAAAAATTTTTTAAGTTTTTTATTGTTTTTGTGTAAATTTAATTAATTATTGTATAAATTTTCCTTCTAACAGACTTTATAAGGTTTTCTAAAAAGTTTTTGTTTATTATTTTATATTACTTTTGTTTTGTTTTGTTTTTGTATATGTTTTGTATATGTAGTTATTAATTACTATAGCTAATTAAGGTGACCATGCAAAATTATTTGAAAACCAGAGGGGGATATCTTTATTATATTTCCATTTAAAATTAATGTTTTTGTTAAAAACTTTCTGTTTTGTGTTGCAAATATTTGAAAAGTTTATAAGGTTAAAATTTAGCATTTTTGTCACTTTTAGTTTAGTTCAATTGTTTTAATATGCTTGTATAATGTATAATATTAGACTAACTAGAAAAGCTTATTGGTTTTATATTTTTATATATGTATGTATATATTTTGTATAATAAAAAACATTTTATCAAATTTCTTTATTGGCTAAAAAAATGGGGGTTTCTAATTTATATGAACGCCTCTTACAAAAATCTTATACATTTCATAAATACTTATGTAAACATTACATTTATGTTTAAACATATATGTAATTTAAACATTTCTAAATGATTTTCATATAAAAATTCTTTTCTCTGAATTGTTCAGCTGCATTAGTAAGATTTTAATTTGTTATAAATCTTTTTAGCGACACAATACAATTATTTTTCCTTAGAGTCGTCCTGATTTATACATTTTCTGAATATATCGAAGTAAATTTCTCCTTTTAAATACTTTATGTGTGTGTGTGTTTTTTTGTTTAAATGCTCTAGTTTATGGCTATAAAAAAATTCTGTTTTTAAAATTTATATTTAGTTTAATTTGACCTTTTTGGAATAGATAAAAAAATGTTGAAGTTGTTATTAATAACACAGCCCAATAAAGTTTTAAACCAGAAAACTAAAGTATACTTTTCTAAAGGATTGATTAGCGCTGAATCCGAATTTGACGAATCAGAAATGATGCATCTTATTAGGTTTTCCAGCTTTCGTGTCATGAAGTCAAATTTGAGATGCCATAACAATGCCAAGCAGGCTATAGTTTAGGCTACAGTTTAGTCTATAGTATAGTCTATTGTCTTGTCTATAGTCTAGTCTATAGTCTAGTCTATAGTCTAGTCTAGTCTATAGTATAGTCTATAGTCTAGTCTATAGTCTAGTCTAGTCTATAGTCTAGTCTATAGTCTAGTCTATAGTCTAGTCTATAGTCTAGTCTATAGTCTAGTCTATAGTCTAGTCTATAGTCTAGTCTATAGTCTAGTCTATAGTCTAGTCTATAGTCTAGTCTATAGTCTAGTCTATAGTCTAGTCTATAGTCTAGTCTATAGTCTAGTCTATAGTCTAGTCTATAGTCTAGTCTATAGTCTAGTCTATAGTCTAGTCTATAGTCTAGTCTATAGTCTAGTCTATAGTCTAGACTATAGACTAGACTATAGACTAGACTATACTATAGACTATAGACTATAGACTAGACTAGACTATAGACTAGACTATAGACTAGACTATAGACTAGACTATAGACTAGACTAGACTATAGACTAGACTATAGACTAGACTATAGTCTAGTCTATAGTCTAGTCTAGTCTATAGTCCAGTCTATAGTCTAGTCTACAGTCTTGTCTATACTCTAGTATAGTCTATAATCTAGTCTAGTCTACAGTCTAACTAGTCTATAGCCTAGTCTATAGTCTAATCTATAGTCTAGTCTATAGCCTAATCTATAGTCTAGTCTAGTCTATAGTATAGTCTATAGTATAGTCTATAGTCTAGTCTATAGTCTAGTCTATAGTCTAGTCTATAGTCTAGTCTATAGTCTAGTCTATAGTCTAGTCTATAGTCTAGTCTATAGTCTAGTCTATAGTCTAGTCTAGTCTATAGTCTAGTCTATAGTCTGGTCTATAGTCTAGTCTAGTCTATAGTCTGGTCTATAGTCTAGTCTGCTAGTCTATAGTCTGGTCTATAGTCTGGTCTATAGTCTGGTCTATAGTCTAGTCTATAGTCTAGTCTATAGTCTAGTCTATAATCTAGTCTATAGTCTAGTCTATAGTCTAGTCTATAGTCTAGTCTATAGTCTAGTCTATAGTCTAGTCTATAGTCTAGTCTATAGTCTAGTCTATAGTCTAGTCTATAGTCTAGTCTGTAGTCTAGTCTATAGTCTAGTCTATAGTCTAGTCTATAGTCTAGTCTATAGTCTAGTCTATAGTCTAGTCTATAGTCTGGTCTATAGTCTGGTCTATAGTCTGGTCTATAGTCTAGTCTATAGTCTAGTCATAGTCTAGTCTATAGTCTAATCTATAGTCTAGTCCATAGTCTAGTCTATAGTCTAGTCTATAGTCTAGTCTATAGTCTAGTCTATAGTCTAGTCTATAGTCTAGTCTATAGTCTAGTCTATAGTCTGGTCTATAGTCTAGTCTATAGTCTAGTCTATAGTCTAGTCTATAGTCTAGTCTATAGTCTAGTCTATAGTCTAGTCTATAGTCTAGTCTATAGTCTAGTCTATAGTCTAGTCCATAGTCTAGTCTATAGTCTAGTCTATAGTCTAGTCTGTAGTCTAGTCTATAGTCTAGTCTATAGTCTAGTCTATAGTCTAGTCTATAGTCTAGTCTATAGTCTAGTCTATAGTCTAGTCTATAGTCTAGTCTATAGTCTAGTCTATAGTCTAGTCTATAGTCTAGTCTATAGTCTAGTCTATAGTCTAGTCTATAGTCTAGTCTATAGTCTAGTCTATAGACTAGTCTATAGTCTAGTCTATAGTCTAGTCTATAGTCTAGTCATAGTCTAGTCTATAGTCTAATCTATAGTCTAGTCTATAGTCTAGTCCATAGTCTAGTCTATAGTCTAGTCTATAGTCTAGTCTATAGTCTAGTCTATAGTCTAGTCTATAGTCTAGTCTATAGTCTAGTCTATAGTCTAGTCTATAGTCTAGTCTATAGTCTAGTCTATAGTCTAGTCTATAGTCTAGTCTATAGTCTAGTCTATAGTCTAGTCTATAGTCTAGTCTATAGTCTAGTCTATAGTCTAGTCTATAGTCTAGTCTATAGTCTAGTCTATAGTCTAGTCTATTGTCTAGTCTATAGTCTAGTCTATAGTCTAGTCTATAGTCTAGTCTATAGTCTAGTCTATAGTCTAGTCTATAGTCTAGTCTATAGTCTAGTCTATAGTCTAGTCTATAGTCTAGTCTATAGTCTAGTCTATAGTCTAGTCTATAGTCTAGTCTATAGTCTAGTCTATAGTCTAGTCTATAGTCTAGTCTATAGTCTAGTCTATAGTCTAGTCTATAGTCTAGTCTATAGTCTAGTCTATTGTCTAGTCTATAGTCTAGTCTATTGTCTAGTCTATAGTCTAGTCTATAGTCTAGTCTATAGTCTAGTCTATAGTCTAGTCTATAGTCTAGTCTATAGTCTAGTCTATAGTCTAGTCTAGTCTATAGTCTAGTCTATTAGTCTACAGTCTAGACTATAGTCTAGTCTATAGTATAGTCTATAGTATAGTATGGTCTATAGTCTAGTCTATACTGCTCTAACCTTTAAAAAAGTATACTTTGATCTCTGGATTTCGATTTTTTCAAATTTTGTTGGCCAGTGTTATTTTTTCGTTAAATACCTCAACTTACTTGAGACTTAAAAAAAAAATATTTACCAAATATTCAAAATTTCATTTTTTTTTTTTTTTAAATTTGGCCATAAATCCTGTACAAAATTTGTTACAAAAAATTCATTACACAATAACTTAAATATAAATTCATTTAATTTGTTTTTCAAATCATTTATTTAAATAAAAAATTTTAAAAAAATATTCTTTCTTTTAGTTACATATTTTGCAAATAATTTTGTTTAAATATAGATTTTGATTTTATAAATTAAAGCTGCTCAAAATATACAATTCTTGTTATTAGTAGTAATATAAAATTGGTCTTATTTCATATTCATTTAATGTATGTATGTATTGTATATATATGTATGTAAGTAGTATATTTGTATATATATAAAAAAACTTCATATTTCTTTACTAGCAAGAAATAAAAAAAAAAAAAAATAAAAAAAAACATATTATTAAATTAAAACAAATTTTCAAAATTGCAATTTTGAAATCGAAACCCTGATTACATTTTAATAATAATTTTTTAAAAAACAATTGTTAGATAAGAATACTTCTTCTGTTAAAATACATGATTTAGTAAATAATAATAGAAATTTTGTTGTTGTGTTCGTTCATCTTCCTTGGAGTGCGCATCAACACCTCCTCCATGTATTTGCGATTTATGTTTAATAGTATTTTTATTGTTGTTATTATTATTTTCGTTGTTATTGCTACTTTTATTATCATCGAAAAAGACATTTGTGAATATTATAAATACAAGAGCTAAATAGACGCATAATATTATAATAACAGCAATATGATTTGTACAACAACAACAACTTTGTTTAGTTGACAAATTATTAATGCTACTACCTTGACGTAAATTACTACGTGACGTAGCCATCAAATTACTACGTCGATTGATAAGCGGTGCTGGGGGTCCATTGTTGTTTATTAGTAAAGTATTATTGCTGCTACTGGTGCCGTTGGTGTTATTGTGGTTGTTAAGTTGGCTGTTGCCATGGCCATTTTTAATAGTTTTCTTATTTTGATGCCATTGCTGACATTGGTGGTGTTCGTGGTATTGTTGTTGTTGTTAACATTATTATTACTATTGGCCTTATTCTTACTGGCAACAGTTGTATTCATTCCCTATTATATAACCGCATTCTCTACATAATTAGCAGGCAACATACCAGTTTTACCTGTACGTTCCACACGACCAGTCATCCAGGCCCGAATCAATTGATTCCACTTCGAATATAATATCACCTTCACGGAAACTAACTTCATCAACATCCTGAGCTTCGTAATCGTATAGAGCACGATAAACCCGCTAAAAGAGAAAAATAAACAATTAGATCTAGTTGAGTTTTATATAACTTCAAGTTCTAGTTCAATTCTGTGTCTAGACTAGTTCTAGTTGAGTTCTAGTTAATTTCTAGTTCAGTTCTAGTTCAGTTCTAGATCAGTTCTAGTTCAGTTCTAGTTCAGTTCTAGTTCAGTTCTAATTCAGTTCTAGTTCGTTCTAGTTCAGTTAGTTCAGTTCTAGTTCAGTTCTAGTTCAGTTCTAGTTCAGTTCTAGTTCAGTTCTAGTCTAGTTCAGTTCTAGTTCAGTTCTAGTCAGTTCTAGTTCAGTTCTAGTTCAGTTCTAGTTCAGTTCTAGTTCAGTTCTAGCTCAGTTCTAGTTCAGTTCTAGTTCAGTTCTAGCTCAGTTCTAGTTCAGTTCTAGTTCAGTTCTAGTGCAGTTCTAGTTCAGTTCTAGTTTAGTTCAGTTCTAGTTCATTTCTAGTACAGTTCTAGTTCAGTTCTAGTTCAGTTCTAGTTCAGTTCTAGTTCAGTTCTAGTTGAGTTCTAGTTAAGTTCTAGTTCAGTTCTAGTTCAGTTCTAGTTCAGTTCTAGTTCAGTTCTAGTTCAGTTCTAGTTCAGTTCTAGTTCAGTTCTAGTTCAGTTCTAGTTCAGTTCTAGTTCAGTTCTAGTTCAGTTCTAGTTCAGTTCTAGTTCAGTTCTAGTTCAGTTCTAGTTCAGTTCTAGTTCAGTTCTAGTTCAGTTCTAGTTCAGTTCTAGTTCAGTTCTAGTTCAGTTCTAGTTCAGTTCTAGTTCAGTTCTAGTTCAGTTCTAGTTCAGTTCTAGTTCAGTTCTAGTTCAGTTCTAGTTCAGTTCTAGTTCAGTTCTAGTTCAGTTCTAGTTCAGTTCTAGTTCAGTTCTAGTTCAGTTCTAGTTCAGTTCTAGTTCAGTTCTAATTCAGTTCTAGTTGAGTTCTAGTTGAGTTCTAGTTAAGTTCTAGTTCAGTTCTAGTTCAGTTCTAGTTCAGTTCTAGTTCAGTTCTAGTTCAGTTCTAGTTCAGTTCTAGTTCAGTTCTAGTTCAGTTCTAGTTCAGTTCTAGTTCAGTTCTAGTTCAGTTCTAGTTCAGTTCTAGTTCAGTTCTAGTTCAGTTCAGTTCAGTTCAGTTCTAGTTCAGTTCTAGTTCAGTTCTAGTTCAGTTCTAGTTCAGTTCTAGTTCAGTTCTAGTTCAGTTCTAGTTCAGTTCTAGTTCAGTTCTAGTTCAGTTCTAGTTCAGTTCTAGTTCAGTTCTAGTTCAGTTCTAGTTCAGTTCTAGTTCAGTTCTAGTTCAGTTCTAGTTCAGTTCTAGTTCAGTTCTAGTTCAGTTCTAGTTCAGTTCTATTCAGTTCTAGTTCAGTTCTAGTTGAGTTCTAGTTAAGTTCTAGTTCAGTTCTAGTTCAGTTTTCTAGTTCAGTTCTAGTTCAGTTCTAGTTCAGTTCTAGTTCAGTTCTAGTTCTTCTAGTTCAGTTCTAGTTCAGTTCTAGTTCAGTTCTAGTTCAGTTCTAGTTCAGTTCTAGTTCAGTTCTAGTTCAGTTCTAGTTCAGTTCTAGTTCAGTTCTAGTTCAGTTCTAGTTCAGTTCTAGTCAGTTCTAGTTCAGTTCTAGTTCAGTTCTAGTTCAGTTCTAGTTCAGTTCTAGTTCAGTTCTAGTTCAGTTCTAGTTCAGTTCTAGTTCAGTTCTAGTTCAGTTCTAGTTCAGTTCTAGTTCAGTTCTAGTTCAGTTCTAGTTCAGTTCTAGTTCAGTTCTAGTTAGTTCTAGTTCAGTTCTAGTTCAGTTCTAGTTCAGTTCTAGTTCAGTTCTAGTTCAGTTCTAGTTCAGTTCTAGTTCAGTTCTAGTTCAGTTCTAGTTCAGTTCTAGTTCAGTTCTAGTTCAGTTCTAGTTCAGTTCTAGTTCAGTTCTAGTTCAGTTCTAGTTCAGTTCTAGTTCAGTTCTAGTTCAGTTCTAGTTCAGTTCTAGTTCAGTTCTAGTTCAGTTCTAGCTCAGTTCTAGTTCAGTTCTAGTTCAGTTCTAGCTCAGTTCTAGTTCAGTTCTAGTTCAGTTCTAGTGCAGTTCTAGTTCAGTTCTAGTTTAGTTCAGTTCTAGTTCATTTCTAGTACAGTTCTAGTTCAGTTCTAGTTCAGTTCTAGTTCAGTTCTAGTTCAGTTCTAGTTCAGTTCTAGTTCAGTTCTAGTTGAGTTCTAGTTAAGTTCTAGTTCAGTTCTAGTTCAGTTCTAGTTCAGTTCTAGTTCAGTTCTAGTTCAGTTCTAGTTCAGTTCTAGTTCAGTTCTAGTTCAGTTCTAGTTCAGTTCTAGTTCAGTTCTAGTTCAGTTCTAGTTCAGTTCTAGTTCAGTTCTAGTTCAGTTCTAGTTCAGTTCTAGTTCAGTTCTAGTTCAGTTCTAGTTCAGTTCTAGTTCAGTTCTAGTTCAGTTCTAGTTCAGTTCTAGTTCAGTTCTAGTTCAGTTCTAGTTCAGTTCTAGTTCAGTTCTAGTTCAGTTCTAGTTCAGTTCTAGTTCAGTTCTAGTTCAGTTCTAGTTCAGTTCTAGTTCAGTTCTAGTTCAGTTCTAATTCAGTTCTAGTTGAGTTCTAGTTGAGTTCTAGTTAAGTTCTAGTTCAGTTCTAGTTCAGTTCTAGTTCAGTTCTAGTTCAGTTCTAGTTCAGTTCTAGTTCAGTTCTAGTTCAGTTCTAGTTCAGTTCTAGTTCAGTTCTAGTTCAGTTCTAGTTCAGTTCTAGTTCAGTTCTAGTTCAGTTCTAGTTCAGTTCTAGTTCAGTTCTAGTTCAGTTCTAGTTCAGTTCTAGTTCAGTTCTAGTTCAGTTCTAGTTCAGTTCTAGTTCAGTTCTAGTTCAGTTCTAGTTCAGTTCTAGTTCAGTTCTAGTTCAGTTCTAGTTCAGTTCTAGTTCAGTTCTAGTTCAGTTCTAGTTCAGTTCTAGTTCAGTTCTAGTTCAGTTCTAGTTCAGTTCTAGTTCAGTTCTAATTCAGTTCTAGTTCAGTTCTAGTTGAGTTCTAGTTAAGTTCTAGTTCAGTTCTAGTTCAGTTCTAGTTCAGTTCTAGTTCAGTTCTAGTTCAGTTCTAGTTCAGTTCTAGTTCAGTTCTAGTTCAGTTCTAGTTCAGTTCTAGTTCAGTTCTAGTTCAGTTCTAGTTCAGTTCTAGTTCAGTTCTAGTTCAGTTCTAGTTCAGTTCTAGTTCAGTTCTAGTTCAGTTCTAGTTCAGTTCTAGTTCAGTTCTAGTTCAGTTCTAGTTCAGTTCTAGTTCAGTTCTAGTTCAGTTCTAGTTCAGTTCTAGTTCAGTTCTAGTTCAGTTCTAGTTCAGTTCTAGTTCAGTTCTAGTTCAGTTCTAGTTCAGTTCTAGTTCAGTTCTAGTTCAGTTCTAGTTCAGTTCTAGTTCAGTTCTAGTTCAGTTCTAGTTCAGTTCTAGTTCAGTTCTAGTTCAGTTCTAGTTCAGTTCTAGTTCAGTTCTAGTTCAGTTCTAGTTCAGTTTTAGTTCAGTTTTAGTTCAGTTCTAGTTCAGTTCATTTATAGTTCAGTTCTAAACCGATTCAAGCCCTTTTTAAAAAAATTTTAACTTACCAAACTTTGTTTCGACTGTTTTTGCTGTACACTGTGATGTATTTGTTGTTGTTGCTGTTGAACTGCTGGCATATGTTGATAATATTGTTGCTGTTGTTGTAAATGATGTTGTTGTTGTGCTGCTGCTGTTTGTAATTGTGTTCAGCTGACAAAGAACCATAAATACCATTAACGGGATCAATATCGGCTACCGAACCAATACGTTTTGGATAAGAATTATTAACTGAATACAGCAAAATAAAGAAAAACGTCAAATAAAAAGCGAACATAAATAAATTGAGAAAATTAAATAAAATTAGAGAAGCTGTTTAAAATAAATACAATACACTCGGTTTGACCAGATAAGACTGAAAGAAATAACCTAAGCATACAAAATCGTGACTTTTTGTCAAAAATGTTAATCTATTTGGAGGAATTTAAAAGATATCAATAATACAAAATAATATTATTGTCCCACTTTGGTCGCAATTGAATACTGTGCCTGCAATGATTTGGATATTTCATCAATAAATGAAACAAATTATGTAATATGTTTAGTACCTAAATCTTGAAATACAGTAATTTTCAATTTAAATTAAAAGAATAATTAAATTAATTAGAACAAAATTGATTAAGCAAATGCATACAATTAAACAAATTATACAAAAAGCTTCAAAACACAGCTACACATAAAGCGAAGTAGTGATGGAATAATATGCTTAGTGGTAAAATAAATAATTCAAGCTGATTTATGTTTAATTCTATGTTTACTCAAAATAATGTTTAAATCCATAGAGTTAATTTTTCTTCAACGAAAATATTATAAAGTTTTGTAAAATTATTTAAAGAAATCCAAAACTGTTTTGGGTAATATGTATAAAGGGATTTTAAATTATTACTAAATCAACTTTATAAATCGAGAGGAATATTAATATTATATAAATATAATTATGCCAATATTCATGATCAATTTCATACTGTCTGATTTCATGATGTCAAATGAATTTGCC